CGTGCTCCTGCGATTACGGTAATTGTAGCCGTAGCTGTAGTGTCCTGTCTGTGTCTGTGCGTGTAGTGCTCTCTGTCTTACCCGGTTGCGAGGTGTGGGGGAGAGAGCCGGGCCATCGGAGTGTATGGCCCAGGGAATTCTTTATGGGATATGGAGGAGCCTACGAGTTTCTTTGCAGTAATCTCTAGCTATTGAGTATCGTAACAGTTATGCAGCGGGGTCTGTTACAGAGTCGAAGTGCAGGCACACGGTTGGTTTCAAGAAGTAGGAATGCTGCATGTTGGCGTGATTCTGAGTGTTGTACAGGGCTGTTTATTACACGAAGGGGAAGAAAAGTCTCGCGCGTGTGTATCCACGTGTCGGCAGGTTTTGGTATTCTGTAGACGGTTTTTGGGAGCAGTTATGTTTTTTGCGGAAACTGTTGGCCGGGAAACTGACCTAAGGTTATGCTTGCGACATTCTTTCCAAGTCGACTTTGCCTCCGAACTTTAACTGCTGACGGGGTAAGGTTCTAAATAGTTTCAGGTTTACCTAGCTATTGTGGGTTGACGGTGAATAAGGTAGGTCGTTATACAGATTTTGCGGCCTTATGTTGCCTCTCTAGAAGTCCACCATTTAATCTAGGAGAGACGGGAATGCAATGTAGAAGGGAAGGCTGAATCACAAGCTGAAGTGATATGATTTTTATGGTCTGCAGTTCGCAACTTGGTTTTGCTGCAGCGTGCCGAATCTTGCGTGGTTTGTGTGGCGCTTTCTGTTAACCGGTGATGCCAATACCTTTGCGTCTTATGCGAAGTGTGCCTGGGGCGTGGGAGGCCTGTGCAGTGCGCAGTGCATCTAGAATGGTCTGTCCCAGGCTGCTTTCGACTGCTCTGCTGACAGCGTGAAAGATTGGAGGAATTCTGATATTAGAGTTTGTGCGCAGGTGAGCTGGTGAATGATCGTGCTGAATAAACTCCAGAAACGAGAGAACGAAAAGGGGACAGCACCGTCTCGATGTGTGACATTGTTACGGTTGTCCCCTCTATGTTTCTTCGCCTCCGGGTTTTATTCAGTTTCTGAGGCTGAAGGAATGCAGGTTTGTGTTTTGCATCTCGTAGCTAGCGTTTGTAACTTTCTTTTTAATGCATTTTTGATTTATCGTAGCAATCTTATGCTCAAATTATTTGTGCTGGAAAGGCTGCACACGGAATCATTGTTTTAGTGGAACATTCTGATCCAAACCACCCATCTTACTGGCTTTTTTTTCTTAAAAATTACAAAATGAGTTTCCACGCAGCCATCTTGTGATTTCCTAGATTTTTCGGATGGTGGCAACATGTAAGAGATGGCAACTTTAAAGCAGACGTGTGTGTTCTTTGTGGCACATAACTTTAGAAAGCAAAGATTGACCTCTGGCGAGCATTTCAAACATTGTCTAGGAACTCAACGGTAAAATGTTACCAAAAAACCAGTTATGACAGTTTCTCATGATAGTTGTTTTTTCGTAGTTAGAATGTAAATTTTGTGGCATACTGATCAATGTTCTTGAGAACCAGAGAAAGAAAGCAAAATGGCTGTAGCATATCCTTATCGGTGCTTTAATATTACATTTTTTCTATGCATAAAATTCAACATGGCCAAGAACACTTAATTATCTGCCTGCCGACATTTTCTTTTTGAACATGAACCTTCAGTGATACTGTTGCGTGACCCTTACTGCCAGTATAATTATTTGATATGATGGTGAAAATGCCACACCTTGACTTCATACTTAAGCTAGGTTGCAAAAAGTAATACTGCTTCTATTAAACTTTGAGGGCATAACATTTTATGTAACAACAGAAATTCTGTAAAGCTTCTCTGTTATTCTAAATCCAGCTCCATTCGGCTTTAGAAAATAAGAATGACGCTTGCATACATTAGAACTTGAGAAAAATAGGCCTCTGAGACAAATGTGTTCAGTTTTTTGTTAGAGCAGAACCTCAAGAAGCACAACAGTAGACAGTGAAAAGGCACATATTTAAAAGCATGTCATTTCTTCACGTGATCAGAGACGATTTGGTGTAAATGTGTCACCCTCTGCAAAAAGGATGCTGCCTAGTTAGAACTGGTCCAGGTTTTACTGTTATACCAAGGTGCTTAGGTGTACTATTTTAGTAGCATTACATTACTTGCCAAGCTCTAAAAAGTAGTCATCCATCACAAGAATCCAGATTTGGTTTTGAATATTGGGTTTAAATTCTCCATCGCAGCTGGTAAAGACATGTGTGACATGGTTTTTATTCCTTAATTAAATGCAGATGTTGTGGATGACCCTAAATTGTACATTAAATTCTATTGAGGATTTTCCTGAAAGAAATTGTTACATGTACAATAATCAGCGGATTTGGATTTTCGAGCGAAAAAGGCCAACTATACCGTTCAAGAAGCGAATCGAAACATACTTAATTTTTAGATGTGTTCACATTTTTGTACGGTCTTTTATATTTATCTTATTTGTATGCAAATTAGTCATTTATTTAGGGTACCTCAACAGCTGCAGTGGAAACGAATTTAGTGCCACAAGTTTCTTGGAGCAGCGGGAAAAGCAATGCAATTTAAGATAATAGACCAGTTAATTACGAGATACTTTTGTTGGTGTATTGTTTTAAATGTGGATCCTTGAAACATAAATATGGTAAGGAGTCCTGCGACCAACCCTCGTAAGTTTGGCAGATTTTAAGGTGTTTTTAGTAGTCTACATACACGAGAAGAAATCGACAGCTTGCATGTGACCAAAGTTATTCACTTCGAGCTTTACATCGACTGAAACCAATTACCAACATCCACTCTAAAAGCTTTCTTTAACCGTGGAGCTAACGGAAGTAATCACGATGCACCTTTTTCATAGCTAACTAGCTAGTCCGCAAACCCGGAGATGTGTGAATGTTATTTATGTACAGGGTGCCATTTCTTTCTTCTTCGGTTGGCAGCAGATGAGAATTTATGCATTGCTTGGAAAGTTGCATTCTGGATGATCTGAGGAAAAAAGTGATAATAGTGAAGGATAAGAGAGTGAATCTGGGAAGGGGGGGGGGGTGATGAGGGAGGGTTAGGATCTCACAAGTTTCGTGTGCACGTGTGTGTGTTTGTGGTTATGTACATGTAGAGACCGAGAGCTGCCCGTGTGAAGTATCTAGACGTGTCTCGTGCGCGACGTCAGATACATGGTCCACGCAACTTGGCGGGAAGAAACCCGCCATGGTATTTTTTGCCCATTCAGAACATGAACTGACAGCTGTTCCCATCGCTTTTAGTGGGACTTTTCCCCGTGAAGTCGATACCAAGTGGCGAACACTAGAACTACTTTTTGGAGTCGGGAAGAGGGATTGCGCTACCTCTTCTGCACCTTCCGGGTCCTCAGACGACTTGCCGAGGGAGCAAGAGAGGTAGTGCAACTCCTGTTCTTGACACCGAAAGTAGTTGCGAGCCTTCCCCTCTGCGGCCCGTGCACGCGTAGAATTCTTTTTTTTTTTTGAGAAAGTTCTATTGTGACGAACCGACATACTGGATTGCAGTTGATGCGCCATTCATTGCTACAACTTCCGCATTATTACAGCCCCCTTTCACTGCGATATGGCTAACAAACTGTGCCAAGAAGAAAAATGACTATTGGATGCAGAAGAAATGTGTGACATCCGCTCTTCGTTGAGCGACACTCGAAACGTGCTTAAAAACACTGCACAAATCTCGTGTTGGGTACGTGCTTACTTAGCGCCTTCCGTGGCGGATTTCTCCCGAGTGCGGACTTTGCGAGCGAGCAGCATCTCGGCCTGTCATCTAGTTCTTGTAGTGCGCGCCCTCACGATGTGTTCTCAGACCGCGCACTTTTGCTGCCACAAGTGCCAACTCGAAGAAAGAAAAAAAAAATAAATAAAAAGAATTGTGAGCGTTGTGTAGCCTGTACTGTTCACGTTAGACCTCTGCACGGATTGGGTTCCTTCGTTAGGACTACGCGCCTCTTATCTCTCCGGTTGCCTTTAGCGGCATCGACAACAACATCAGCGTCGATGGCTTCACCTCGCGCGGCGTGCCGTCCCGTTGTCTGCGTGCGAAGTCGGTCCGGCGGACGACTCCTTAACGACTTTGATTACGTCCTGTCGTTGTACGGGGATGTGATGTTCTTCGAAAGCAACCTTAAAGGCTGGTCCACGCACTTGCGTTTGCTCACGACCGAGTTCTTGTGATCTCTTACGACGAGAGAATATGCTGGCGCCATCCACGAGGTTGCCCTTGAACTGCATCTCATTAAGCTAAGGTTTTGCAGTATTCGAGATATGAAATGTACATTCGCGGACGATATGAAAAAGTCTAAGCCTACGAGCGCGTGACTTGCAAGGCCTTCAGTGATGTCTATCAGAAGAGTGTTAAACCGTTATTGAGGTTTCAGCGGCTGGGAAATTTTTGTCCTCACTTCCTTATTTGACCAGCTGTCGCTTAGTTAATACTGATTTCAGCGCCGAATGTAGATGCGTTCCGCGATAAAAAAGGCGAAATCAAGCCAAGCTGAATCAACCGGGTCGGCAGGTCGAGCAATCAGTTTTTGCGTGCTGAAGTTGTGTGATTTCTCGTACGAGATCACGAGAGGTTTTAACGCACTGGGTCGCAAGCAGTCGCAAGTGCGTGAACTAGCCCACGCGGTGCTTTCCACAAGTGTACGGAACTTTGCAAAATGTAAGGATCACCGAATCTAACGATTTTCGATGCCCTCGTGACATTCCCCGTTTTCAACTTCTTTGTTTTACTTTAAAGTCTGGTCCTCGCGAAACGACCCACTAGAGTGCAGACTATGTTCACTGTGTCGTTTTTGCACGGCTCCGCTTGTGCTGATCGAGGAGCGTTTGTCCGTCCATCGCCGAAGTCTTTCCTCTGTTTGAATGTAGTCTTGTTTTATTAACAACCAACGACAACGCTAAATACGCTTGGTAATGCTTTTTTTTAACGGGTTGAAAGCTACCTACTGGGGGGTCAACAGACAAACAAACTGATCGAGCAATTTGCTATCATTCTCGATAGCGCTCTCGGCGTGTATCTGAGAGGATCTTAAGAACGGTCTCGTACCCTTATATCCCCGGAAACATTCCTTATATATACTTTGCAGGCTTTCCAACAGACAACAAAGAGTAGTTCGGCTTCTGGTTTTGTCCAAGCCTTACGAGTGTGGACATAAACCGTTTTTTCCTTCCTTTGATCATTTTGCAGCTACCGCTTGCTTTATGTACATAGACTGTTAGAGACGGCGCAAACAGGAGATAGAACTGGCGTGGTATATTTTTCATTTTTTTTCTTCTTTTGTAACATTAAAACTGCAACGGGAAAGTGCAAAGCAAAAAGTCAGTTAAAATAAAAAACGATTCTGCTTGTTTTGCGCTTTGAGGGAGGAAGGGTTATCATTTCTTTCTAGACCATACTTATCTATCGACTACTAATTGCTTTTGGTTCTCTCGGTGGCGAGACTATAGAGCCGTGGCTCGTGACTCGAGTTTAGGAACTCGGTACGGGAAATTTGGGCGGCTATAGCTTGTGTAGGACAGTATTCAAACGCCTAAGTTTTCGTTTCGCTTACACGACGTTTCTCGTTCCCCTTAGTCTCGCCTTCAAGGTTTTGCCGCAGTTCTCCGCACGAGGACTGAATTGAACCTTGAAAGGAGGTCAGGTCCTGCTGCGCCTACTACTATTGTAATTCGGATGGTCGTTTACGTTTGGTTACGGGATGTCGGCGTGAGTGGCTAAAACGGATATTTTTGGCGCTGACTTTTAGCAAGTCTCAGCCTTTTTTCTTGCGGTTGAACATGGTTGCTCCTAGATCACTCGTCACTCGCTTCGGTGGGACAGGTGGGTCATCGATGCCCTAGTTCCGTCTCCAACAACAACAATACACGTTTGTCTGACCCTTATCTACGGGAAGTTGGACAGCAACTGTGTCCAAGGCATAGTTCATCGGTGAGGTTGGTTTCTCTTTTTGCCACAGGGTTTTAAACTCCGGGCGTTAACCTAGGGGTTGCGGGACTCGAAAAGGTGAAATGGTACGGTCACCGGTCCCCCGAGACCCCTAGGGGCCGACCGTGTCAAGCGGGTGACACGTCCTTGTTGGAACTGCCGGCGGTGGACCTCCGGGCCCTGCCAGGAGGGAAGTGGCAGCGAGCCTGAAGAGCCTGTCGCTTACACCCGGGACACCAACGTGCTTGAGGATGATGCGGAAGTCTTTGAGTCCGTGGGGTCCGTTAAGGTGAGCACTAACCAGTTCTGGGTGGAGCGTGGCAGGGTGGAAGCAGTGTCCTCGGCTCGAGATGAGCGATCTGGGGGCGCGCTGGGAGGTGGGGTGGTGGTTGTTGGGGGTGGGGGGGCTGTTCCCTCACGACGAAGACGTGGTTGCGGACGCGTAAGAAGGTACGAAGGGCGGTGCCGTGACCTTGGTGCCTAGCCGAGAGAGGCGGGGTTCGAGGCACAGGCTCAGGCGGTAGAGTTCTTCGTCTGGCATGAGCCGTCCCGGGTCCAGAAGGTAGTTGAACACCTGCGAAATTTCAGATGCGTTCTCAGGTCTGTTGGGAGGCCCGTCGTTTTTGATATCATGGCTTTAAGCAGCCGTGCATCACTATTGGGTTAAAATGTCTCTACCTTTGAACAACCCTTGTAGCGCCAAAGCGCGAGACTTAGAGCGGTGGCGCCAAAGCGCGAGACTTACAGCGGTGGCGCCAAAGCGCAAGAACTTAGAGCAGTGACTCACGCAACGTCAGCAGCTAATCACGTCCGGGTCACCAATTTGTGGTGGTCAGGAAAGACGTCCGTCGATGCAAATCAACAAACTTATTTTTATCACCACACAAAAACTGAAAAGAACATAAAAAGGGGCTCCGCTGAGACCGCCCTGTTACATCGTCGAACGCTGCCAGGCTCGTGCTGTTCTCTTCGAACCCGGAGCTCGGTACCGTCGGTGCTGCTCGTGCCGCGCGCTTGATACGTGATTAGCTGCTGACGTTGCGTGAGTCACTGCTCTAAGTTCTTGCGCTTTGGCGCCACCGCTGTAAGTCTCGCGCTTTGGCGCCACCGCTCTAAGTCTCGCGCTTTGGCGCTACAGCCTCTTCGCAAAACTTTTAAGACGCACCAACGGGGATCGCATTGTTGTGGTCACGGGGATTACCTTATGACGACAAGGTTCAAATGCAGCTCGTAGGCTGGAACACTGGGCTTGGGCTCGCGACAACCAGTGCCTCGATAAACATTCGGGTAATAAAAGCAGCCGAACCCGAAGAACGTGTGGAGCTCAGTGTCTGCCACGTGCTTTGCCGACCCCGGCCCTTAGCTACGACGAACGTTGGCGGCATATAATCGTAATTAGATCTCGTGGCCGCTTGTTCTGGCTGCGAGTCGACGGGGTAAAGACGAATCGTTCTTGTTTTAAAAATGTTGTTGCAGGGAAAAAAGATCTTTCGTAAGTTATGAGCATGGAGGCTTAATTTTATGTTGCGCCGCCCCTTTTAAGAGACACAGAGCTTGGCGAATCTTGATGATCTTCTAATCGCTCCTCGGCCAATCATAATAGAGATTTTTTGGGAACCGTTTTTGCACATCCGATGTGGTACGATGGGCCCTCCAGTACGAACTGCGCATGCGCTGCTACCGCAGAAGACTCGCAGATATGCAGTTCGTACCAGAGGGTACGAATATCGGACCCTATCGGATGTGCAAAAAACAACAAAAACGAAAAACGGTATCCTAAAAGTCTTTATCGCTGCATATGAGCGGATAAGGATTCCAAGTTCGAACCACTTAGCAAGAAGCGTTCACCATAACAACCCATGCCCTTCGCTTAGCTGTCAATGACGGGAGTGCTCTGCAAAAGGATGGTGGGTGTCGGAATAGGTGCACTGCTCCCTTACCTTAGGGATCATCTCAATCTTGTACGGAGTCTGCTGGAAATGACGAATCTCCCGAATCACGTGAGCAATCTGGAAATAAAAAGAGAACGAAAGCACTCTCTTAGAAAATGAAAAAGGTGTTTATACATTTTTCTATTAAGGGAGGAACGATCTTGCAACCTATGTTCCTCTAGAAAGGCTGCGAAGTTCCGCTGAAAAGACGATCTCATTATGGCGGCACCGAGTCGAGGGCATTTTTTTTTGTTTATGATTGGTTAAGCGCTGATCGGACACGTATAGAAACACAACGAACACCATGATGGTATACTTTTTACGCTGTCTGATTGGTCATACAACCATACAGCCATATACCAAGACACAGGGCGAGGTACACGGACAAGAGACAAGGTTTCTGACCGGCGTCGACTCCCATGTTTTCGAGGAAGGCAGCTTAAATGTGAAGTGTTATGGCTCGTATCTATCCGATCACTGATATGACGATTATTTTTATCTCATTTGAGCCAGATTGTGAAGACTCCCGAGATGAAAAGTCGAGCATTGTGCCCCTTCTGACTATACCGGGTGTTTTTGCGAAGACTCAAAAATCCTAAAAATCAGGGCGTTAAAAAAAACAAAAAAACTGTCTTTAGGAACAAACTACCAGCCACGGCAGACGTCAGGAATTGCCAAAAACATACTGGTTATCCAGCTAATTAATCAACATTTGTTAATTAACTTTTTAAATAAATTGAAATATAAATTTTTGTTAAATAGACATACGGTTCCAATTAGAAAGTTGCTGAGCGTTATCGAAAACCACTAAATCAGTCAATTTCAGAAAGACTTTGAGCGCGTCAGAAGAGTGGTAGCGCACTAAAGTTACCACTCGTGGAGCAGGTACAAGACTGGGGCTAGATAAGAGGCAGAAAATTTGCTTGGGCACCTCACCGCAACCGCTAGCCTTGTACCTGCTCCACGAGTGGTAACTTTAGTGCGCTACTACTCTTCTCACGCGCTAACAGTCTTTCTGAAAATGACTGCTTTAGTGGTTTTCGAAAGCGCTCAGGAACTTTCTAATTAAAACCATATGTCTATTTCCACTCATTAAAAAGTTAATTGGCAAACTTCAATTAATTAGCTGGATAATTAGTATGTCTTTGGTAATTCCTGACGTCCACCGTGGCTGGTAGTTTGTTCCTGAAGAAAGTTTCTTTTTTTTTTCAAACACCCTAGATTTTTTGGATTTTTGAAAGTCTTCGCAAAAACACCCGGTATCACCAACGTCGTTGTCAAAACTAGGGGAAAAAAGGGGGGGGGGGGGTGCGGGGGTAAGTCAGAATGAGCAATGGGATTGCTGCGGCATTTGGGGAAAACTGCACCAAAGTACCTAGTGTGCTACACACTGCTATATTTAGTCAAAATGTGAGGGATTTGTCGCCAATATTATGGCAAAAGTCAATTTCCTACTACACGGAAACTAATAGTTCAGGCTTCACCACACTGTCGGATTGTTACAGAAGCTTGTGCGAAGTTTCGGAGCATTCGCTTATTGCTTAGAATAACTTGCGTTTTGATTTTATGTTCGTATCGAATATGACTCGCTACTTGGAAGTATTGTGATATTTCTCGTTGCACTGGGTCTGTTCGGGCAGTTTGACTAGCTCCGTTGAGTGCGCTTCTCGCCGCGAACCAGCGGTTTTTTAGAGAAGCCACGCCCGCGGAGGGTAGACGTTGCGATCCTGCATTGTCGCTTCGCCGCATTGCACCTTGTTTTGAAAGGTAAAACGCGCTTCCTTGGTGGTATGGTGCACGACCAAAAGAGACAATTATGAGTTAAAAAAATTAGAACTCGGAAAATACTGATGTGACAGCTACCTTGCAGTATTATTTGCAAAACAACACTATGGCTACTTTATGTCTCAGAAAGCAACATGCTGATAAGAGACTGTGCATCATCATAAATCTCTACATGGGCATAATCAAATAGCATTTCCAATATAAGCATATTTTGCACTAGACGCTAAGAAGCGGTTTCACAGATGTGGGCCATTCAAAGATGCCCTCTCGCTTTGTTGAACAGCCTTACCAGGGGATTGTTCAATAATTTATCTACCTGACTATGAAAAAAAGTAGCAAGCGTGTTGAAACAAGTCTGGGCATGTTGGGACATGTCTCAAGGTTACTTACGCAGAGCTGCGGCTCAGTGCGAGTCTTAACATTTCACGAGACAAGGTGTCAGGAGAGTCCTCATGCCAATCAAATAAGGAAATGGTAGATTTGGAGCAACGTTCAGGTGATACAATTTTTCAGAAAAGAAGGGGGACAAAAACGAAAGGAAATCTATGAACGTATGACTGCAGCTTATGGGGCGTTTACCCCATCATTCTACAAAGTAACACTATGGAGCAAGGTGTTTCAATGGGACAGAGACTGCATTTAAGTTGACTTTTACACTAGATGGTCTGTGGAAACAACTTCCACAGAATTGTGCATGAAAGTCGAGGACTGAATTTCGTTCCACAGAATTCTTAAGGTTTTCCGAATAGTTAAATAAATGAGATCTTGGCAGGTTTAGTTGGGAAAATGATTCATGATAAGTTGGAGATGTAAAATAAATCGTGCAATTTGGGTTCCGAGAGTGCTGACGCCATGCCAGGAGGCCACCAGGCACTAGTGCAGACTAACTTGGGGATGTTTCGTGAAGACTAACTTAACTTTTTTTTCATCGTTCAATGACTGGAGATGAGACTTAGGTATATATATATTAAAGAGATACTGTTTTCAGAACGGATACAATGTAGTGAAAGCCGAAGTCATATACCACTACACAAAAAAAAAAAAGTTCAAGACAGAAAAATCTGCAGGCAAAGTCGTGGTAACAGTTTTCCCGGAGGTTGAATGACTTTTGCTTTAATGTTTTGTCCTACTCCTCCTCCAGTTCATGCCACACAAAGTAACCACGACAGAGGAGATTTACGTTAACACGTTGATCGATCTGCTGGAGTGAGGAGAAAAAAGAAGAAAACTCCGCAGCCGCCGTGCTCCTTCGCGACATTGCGCCGATCCTCATGTCGCGTAGATCGCAGGATGCCATTCAAGAATTTGAGTTCCACCAGCTGAATCATCCGCCGTACAGTCCTGATCTAGCTCCCTTGGATTATTGCCTGTTGCGAGTTTTAAAGAAATTTCTCCGTTGACAGCAGTTTTTAAATAACGAAGGGCGCCAAAGCAGCGGTGACGTCCATGTTTGAAGGTCACACAAAATAATAATTAAAAAACGGGTTAACATTATTGTTGGAATATTGGGTGAAGTGTATAGAGCTGTCAGGAGGCTATATTGGAAACTAAAACACTTTTGCGAAAGCTTTTTTGTCTACTTACGTAGATAAATTATTGAACGCCCCTCGTAAAATTGTAATTGCAAAGCAATTAATGAAAATGAGTATCAATAATAAGAATAATAATACCTGTACAATTCGGAATAAACGCCCTCCCACGGCGAAGAGGTAAAATGGAAGACTACGAGGTGGCCGTTCTTTCAGAATTTTAATAATATAATATTATATCCTTGAGTTTCAAAGGTGTTTTTTTTTTCTCTTCTCCAAAATTGAGGTTTGACTGCTCTAAAAGACGCTCCAGAATAACTCGGACCAATCACAGCACTTCACTCAAGAACGGAGACACGCCTCCTTTTTACTTGTGGGCCGTACGTACGTGCCGGCCATCTTGGATACGATTGAATATATAAACTTTCGTTTTCATAAAAAAACTAGAAAAAAAAATACGAACTTGTCGCTTGGGTCTTTGCAGGCATCTCGTTATGACATTGTTGAACGAGATAACAATAAATGTACAAAGTGAAACTTGCTTATACGTTTTCTACATAACAATTACGTAATATAAAGTTGTTTAAAAAGATACCAGGGTTTTACAGCAGCACGGTTATGCATCAGCATTTTACCGTAAACAGCGCTAGTTTCACTAACACCCTCGGCACCACCCACCCACCAAGCGAGCGCGGTAGCTATGTCTTAAAATATTTGCGACGTCACGTGTCATTTTTGGATGTACAGTTGGCACTGAAAACGATTAGCCCAAACGAGTGACCGCCGGGCCGTCGAAAAGGCGACACGTGGCGCTGCAGTCGCGCAAACACAACGGGGACAATGTTACTTCGCTGGTATCAAATCTGTGGCCGTGATGGAGGTCGGAAAACAACACTTCCCAAAAAGCAATTTCCGTAAAGCGTTTCTCAAAAACCTTGAGCCTTCTCACTCTAAAAGAAGGAAGACCAGCGAATCTATGCAATGGTGGGAATGAAGTAACAACCGGCCGCAAGTCGGCAAGCCAGAGTGGAAAGGCTGGAAAGGTTGCCGCCATCTATGAGCGACGACGGCAGCCAGACAACCGGCAAACACAACATTCTAGACAGCTACCGCCATCTATGAGCGACGGCGGCAACCGCCGTCTCTCATAGATGGTGGTTGCCGCCGTCGCTCATAGGCGGCGGTCGCTGTCCAAAGTGTTGTGTCGACATTTCTTTGCTGACGGAGACGATCCTGGGGAAACTAGCCCTCAACAGCTCCGCTGTAAAAATAAAAAAAAAATAAAAAAATAAAACGCGGTTCCAGAAAGCGTTTTCTAAAACGCACTTCGCTTAAAGCGGTTTTCATAAAGCGATTCCCAAAGAGTGCTGCTGAAAAAGCGCTTTCCAAAAAAGCGGTTTCCAAAAAGTGCTGCTCAATAAGCGCTTCCCGTAAAGAATTTCCCGAAAAGCGGTTTCCCAAAAGGCTTTTCCCATAAAGCGTTTCCTCTAAAAAGCACTTCCAAATTACCACTGCTCTGCCTTCACAACGCCCCCAGACGGTAGAAAGGATAATTTAACACTTCCTAGATATACCCAGCAATTTCCTACGCAATGTTTTTTTTTCTTCTTTACGGTCGCACTGCTCGAAGAGCTCGTACCATTCTCATCTTGGAGAAGTTGAGCAGTCCTTCCTCGGTGAAGTTTGGGGTGCCTTCCTCGATGAAGGACAGGTCGGTGAGGTACATGCCCAGGTACGGGATGCAGGGCGGGTCGCACCGGTGCAGGGCGTCTCGCATGTTGCGGAACCGGCCGTCCGCCGACACCAGCGCCTGGAGCTTGTCGATGGTCTGCTTGGTCTGCGGACGCGAGGAAGCCATCCACCGCCATTACTGCTACTGTAGTGACCGCACACTTGTACGGAACGCGTTACCTGTAACACTTCACTTCTATGTACGGTAGTTCTTTTTTTTTTTTTCGGTAACGAAGTAAACGTCCTTACTTTCTTCTCGACAGAGAGAGCGAGTAACGCATTTGCGTTACTTTTTGTATGGAGGAACGAGCGACGATATTCACTTACTTCCAGAGGGAACCGTGTACGATACAAGTAGACACATTTAATGTGCACACCAGCCCGCGCCTGTGACTTTATTTAACAAAATCACCAACAAAAGAAAAAAAATTGTGTGACTGCGTTTAAGATTGGACATTATTAAGGAGACACAATATCGTAAAGCGGCTACTACTTCAGAAAAAAACATAAAAAATAAAAACCAATCCTTCAGAGTAACGAGAAAGTAACTCGAATTGCGTTTGAGCTCAAGTAATAAGTTTCCTCGGAATCTCGGTACCAAGTAACGTACCTACCTAATCACTTTTTGAGGGAGCAAGGAATGACAGTATTTCTTTTCTTTCTGTTTTTTTTTTCGGTAACGCGTACATATGTGTGTGTGTGTGATTGATAACGTAAAGAAACGGTGCTGCTTGTCGTCTGCTCTTTTAGACGACACCAGCCCGTTGACCAAATGTTGGCCCGGTACTTGCAATAAGAAGTAAGTGCAGGCCTCAAAAGACTTAAGTTTGAAGGTTGGTAAGCAGGCTCGACGTAAACAGTAGATACAAGGAGATGTTGATCATTGTTACCAGCGGCCATCACCGACTTGTCATGCGTGATTCACTTGGTCCGATTCTGCTTACGATTTTCAGTATCGACGTCGACCATCTCAGCTACGGTTCACACTTTTGCAGCCCGAGCGACGTCGCGACTGAAAATTGGGACCGAAATCTCATCATGTGAGTCAGGCTTTTGCGTACATTCTGCGGCGTCCACGCAAATGAATCGCCAAATGTCAGATTATTCACGCGAAGTTTTGCGGTGTAACGAGCCTCGTTAATTTCGCTGACACCGCTCATGTAGTCAGACATTGCCAGGACGACGTAGAATCAAAAATTCGAAAGCGATAAAGGGCAGGGGGTTCACAATGACGCCGATAAAATCGCATTTCAATGGTTTGTTTATGGGCGACGGCGAGCCTCTTGCCCACACCCCCATCGCGCATGCGCGGCGCCGGTGGCGTCCGCTAGGGGCGCTTTGGGCTCTCCGGTTCGTTTGTAAACATGAGTTGGTGTATAGGTTCCGTGACGTCAGGTATTGTGACGCCAATTTCCTCGCTGATTTTGGCGGGGAAAGTTAACTGGTGTATAAATCACGTGACTTCATTTCACGTACGTGACATCAAGTTTCTCGCTAAATTTAGCTGGAAGATGGAATCGGTGTAAAAATCACCTGACGTCAGGTAAGGTGACTCCCATTTCCTAAAAAAATAGTAAGAGTGCAGGCGAGCTGGTGTAAGTTGAACATGATTGTAAACCTGAGACTGGGGCAGAAAAGAGTACACAACAGAAGGTAGAAACCTGTTGTGTTCTTCTCTTTTTGTACCTTCTGCTGTGTTCTCTTTTCTGCCCCAGTCTCAGGTTTACAATCATGACCAATTTCCTCATCGACTTTGGCGGGGAAGTCTAATTGGTGTACAGATCACATGACGTCAGGTCACGTGACATCAATTGACGTCACGTGACCTAAACACCAGTCCAGTTTACCAACTAAATTTATCGGGAAACGCACGGGCGGTCGAACGGACGAAACCTTGAGAGTTTGAAGAGAGGGGAGGGGGATTGTTAAAGACCAACGACCAGTTCGCGCTTTCCACTTTTCCCTCGCTTCCTCCGCTCACACCCTCTCGCTGTCCACAGTGGCTTCTTTCCTCCTTCCCCTAGGTGAGGATGATCTTCTGGCTTGCAGGAATCTCAAGTCTGGTCGTCGGCCTTTCAACAACATCTCATGCTTTCATACAGGAGCGCGTGCAAAGAAGGGGGTTTCTCACCGTCTTGGAAACCTTCTCCCAGGTCTTTTTAAGCCTGAACACGGAGCTGTTCATGAAGGCTGCGCAGATCTGGAGCACCCCGTTGAAGTTGTGCAGGCAGCGGCAGATGTCGGCTACCGCTGACCACTTGTCGATGATGGTCACCCGCTTGGACATCTCGGGGCAGCGCATTATCTCGGACACCACCAGTCGACTCACCTAATGCGCAGGGAGACGCAGACCGGGCCGTGAGGGCGTGGACTTCGATATCAAGATAATTTCAGTGAGGCTATACGGCGAGCCAGTTAGTGGGCTGTTTGCGCAAACGTACTATCACAATCAATGCGTCTGTTTCTTTCGTCCAGGGGGCGCTGTAGCGTGCAGGGAACGCCACCACAAAGAGAGGCGGCTCCGCCAGCGTCCGCGCGACGCGAACAGTTGATGCTGACCATAGCCTCCTCTATACTCACAGAGCCTGGCACTTCGACAACGAAGCCATAAAGTGCCCGGTCGCAGATTTGGAGCGCGAGGATCTGGTAGCACAGAACATTTCTCGGGGAACCTGGACGTCAGCGCACAGCTTTTGCGGCGGCGAGGACCCGAAACACACTGTTCGCTCAGGAGAAGTGTGTTTCGGCGTCTCGCCGCAGCGGGGCGCCAGTCACGTGGCTCTCCTCTCATCCGTTGTCTGCCGCTCCACATTTTCCATTTCGGCGGCCGCTTCTCGTGGCGATCTGCCAGGCTTTGTCAGTATATAAGAGGCTATGTGTTGACGCGAAGTACCATCCCAGCGTCCCATCATGCGCGATCCACCGGCGTACACTAGCGTCTCCTAGCGTCCCTCAGCGTCTGCCCACGGCACTAAAGGCTCTGTTGTACTCCGACGTCGAGAGCTACTCTCGACGTATATCAACGCGGCCTAGCGCAGCGCACACAGATACAAATTGGTCGGAGATATCGAGTTCCTGCTTCCCAACCAATGAAAGGCCCGTATTCTGCGCTACGCCACGTTCACTGCGCTCAACGTTGGAGTAGAACAGATTCTTAAGCGAGCGTTTAAAAAGATAGAATGCGACGCACGCACTACAAAAACGCGACCTGAAAATATCCGATTTTGCTCGCCAGGGGCGCTGCTCAAAACTCGAGTTACATGTCTATACGACCCTTAACACTCGATCTGGCCTTTTTCTGCGTCTACGGTCTCCACAAGCTCTATATTGTCTCTCAATTGTTCAAAGAATCCGGAGTACGAAACCCCAGCTTTGCACTACTTTTCTTGTTCGGACCATAGCCCTTTCGAAAACCGACAGGTACGCGAAAGAAGCACGAAGGACTGTTTTACGCTCACATTGAACGCGACAGTACAGCGACGTCAGGGCGCCAAGCTCCGATTGGACGACATGGGGCGTATACGTATCCTCCCATCGTACTCTTCAATCGTCTGCTCTCTTCGCAGAGCGTAAATGATGTCCATCTATTCGTTACGGTGGAAGATGAAGTAGTCTGAAGGGCTTCTTACCGGACTATCAGACGCGTTACAATGAACGAAGAACTCGCGACCAAGATGTCTTCTGCCCACCGAAGACAATAACGTCTGCTGGGGCGGACTTTGTCTCTCACGCGATCACTCCCCCTCACCTTTTCTCGTTCGCTCGGACCAATCACATCTGTTTGCTGTTCGCTTTCCTTCACAGCACGCACTTTTCTATCCAGCTGCCGTGGATTTTTCCGTATTAATCTTTTTTGTTTACGGAGACGTAGTTTATTTTTTTTGTTGTCTTCAGATGATGTCTATATTTGACTGACATGCGGATTACACCCTCACCTTTTCTTAATGTTCCGTAACCCTCTCTATGCAGTGCGAGTGCCCATTGTGCAAGGAGTGATTTTTGTGTTTATCGGACAAGCAAGACTCACGTCGTTGAACCTCCGGGTCATGAGGAGGATGTGGGGGGCTTTGGTTGCCTTCTCTGGTTTCATCCAGGCTTGGCCTAAAAACTCCCTGCGAAAAGCAGCGATATTTCATGTCGCCAATTTCAGCTCGAAGTACCATGTCACTACAGTGGAACCTTTTCCCAAGACGCTCATTCTTAGAAGAGCCACTCCGCTCTTCCACTCTGCATCCATCCCCCCTCTCCGTTCTGTGCGCCGCGCAAGTTCGTCTGCTTTTTGCGGTGACGTAAGAACGCCGCGCCCTGATTGGCTCTGATTGGAAGGATAGTGGGCATAGACTTCAAGGCAGCTAGCATTGAGGTCTACCCACTATCCTTCAAATCGGAGCCAATCACAACTCTGTGTTTTGACGTCGCTGCCACCCCTGCGCAAGAAGCAGACCAACTTGCGCTCGACATAGAAGAAAACGTTTCGTTTCGAGGAAAATAATAATAAACAATGAATCTACTTCTCCAGGCAATATATTGCGCCAAAATAGGTATTGCTTCCATCGTGTTGACTGGAGTTGACAAAACATACTGAGTGTCCTGAAGTGTGGAACACTTCTGCGTTATAACAAAAGAGCTCATGGAGCTCTTGTGGCTCTAGACAGCGATGCCGCCTGGATCCACTAGTAATGACGTAAGAGTACTAAAGTCACGCAGGTTTTGTCTTTTAGGTGGTTTTCCCACCAGACTTACATGTATGGGCAAACTGTGTGTGAGGTTTTTGTATTTTGCATAGGAGCAAACGCTAGAGCCGTGCGTTTGCGTTGTGTGCTCCTCGCTGAGCACGCGCCGATCCAAGACGCTCTTTTGGGTTCCGCGCACGCGCAGGGGTGACGACGCTATTAGGGAGTTTTCGTAGACCGCGTTTCCCCCTCCGCTATGCCCTCCGCAACGAAGAAGCCGCTACTGCGCCTGCGCGCCGATAGCCTTGACTATAGAGTTCCGGGTGCCGTAGCGGGTTGCGGAGGGAGTTGAGGGACGGCAAAAACCATCTGCGAAAACTCCCTATTTTCTTTGCGCGCGCAAAACGTTTTGCGTATACGCTATTCTAAACAAAAGGAGAAAAAGAAAAAAAAAAAGGAATCCCGTTACTGAGAACATTCGGTCTCCGCCCGCGAAGAAGACTCACTCGCTACGAATGGCGATGAAAATCTTGTGGTCGAGGTAGGTCATTCCTTCCGCTATCTCCAGTGCCGAGAGTGACTCCACGGTTTCTTTACTAGGCGTCTGCGGGAAGAGCGGGGGAAAGAAAGACAGAAAATGAAACAAGCACATTGAAACGCAAGAAAAGCCTTGGCCGAGCCAACATCTTTTTTTGTAGGTAGCAAGGCCGAAATGCTCGATTTTCGACGTCACCTACGAGGAGTAAGCGAGGGTCGCAGATTGTACACGAGTGGTTGGTCAGCATTCGCCAGCCACGTGTGAGTAATCAGTAAGAACACAATTCCCGACCGAACACTGAAGCTGCACTCGTGTATAACCTCTACACCGAGCGCTGGGTTGCGGTAGAGGACGTAGAAAATCCAATACCATACACTCTGTAAAAATGCCCGCGAGTTCACTTTCCCACAGAACACGGAAGGAGCCAATTGCGGTAAACAACAGAAGGGTACCAACGGAGGATACAGTCAAGGGTGACTACAGTCACAAGGAGGAGGTTAGAAGATTGACAGGAATTATATGGGGAAAATTGAAAAAAAGTAAAACTAACTTGTACAGCTGGGGGACAGGCGGGACGGAGGAAAATTGGGACACCCTTCCGCGTGGCTCCGGCTCAGAGCCTCAATCTTGTCGCACCTGTCGGCCCGGTGTTGGGGTAACGCCAACAAGGTTTGACCGGAGAATAAATTACGACTCTCTTGCCCAGAAAAAAAAATAGACATATTTTTTTTTCGATTGAAAAAATATTTTGGCAATATGACATACCGCCTGGTGATAGTTACAACGCAAATGGGAATGTAAACTGACTTAAGAACACAAATCATACTCTTGTTTCTTGGTTTCTAGGCTTGGTGGCGCGAGTTGCGGCCCGTTATAAAGGGTACCGCCGTTAGCATCCATCCATCCGAAGCTTATAATACGATTAGACCAAAACTGCCTAGTGCGAGGGACAATGAGCGCAACGTTTCACTTGCCCATCGCCCCATCGCCCCTGCGCACATCACATTTCTTCAGATATAATTGTATACGAAGCTTCGCAATTTTCCGGGACCCTTCTGTCGTTTACAGTGATTGGCTTTGTCCGTGTTCTGTAGGAAAGTGAACTCTAATCCAAAAGTGTACCTATACTTGCCATCTACCCTCCGTTCCAGCTTAAGTCCAGACACAGCCGACGCTACGAGGTAATGGTACCAATCAAGCAGCGTCAAATAATTGGTTGGTACTGATTGGTTCATCGATGATAGAACACGTACAGAAGCACAACGAACACCATAATGGTGAGCTTTTAACGCTGTCTGATTGGTCCGATCAGCTCGTAGCGTCGGCTGCGTCTGAACTTAAACGCCGACATGCAAGTTCGCTTTTCTGCAGGGAAAATAACGCTCTTAGCGCTCTCCTCTCCTAAGCTCGAAGGGAGCCAAGTCAACGCCCCCTAGAATACAAAGCCGTAGTTGTGATAGAGCTGACGTCATCAAAGAAGGCCAACGCTGGTCACAGATTTGACACGACGATTGCGTCAACGTTCGGATCCAACTTGATTCGAAGCGGAGCGCTGACGTAGCACTCGCTTCCAATCTGTGTCCATCGTTGGCCTTCGTTGTTGACGAAAAAAATGTCAGTGCAACGGCCTTGTCTTTTTGTTTCATTAAAAAAAAGGGGGAAAAAAAAAAGGAGAAAGAAACAAATTGAAGGTTCAAGTGCGCTCAACTCTCCACGTTGCCTTTTGAGTAACGTACTCTGGGGGATCACGTGGTTTCCCGTTGGGTTCTCTCTTCAGAGACCCCAGCCGCTTCCTCCGCGATTGTCGACTTTTAAAGGATTGAAGTCGTCGAAGGTCTCGGCGAGCGATCGGCACAAAAGAACTGTTCGCCACGAGGCTGACGCGAGTGTTGCAGCGGAGGGGGACAGGATTTTGTTGACTTTTGCGTATCCCCCAAAGACGTTGTTACCGTAGTTCGCGTAACCGCCACACGCGGCTGCAGATCGGCAAATAATTCGTTTTCTTCTCTTTGCGATTACGCAGCGGAATAGCAGTTTTTCGGGGCATAGTGCTTTTGGTCACTTGTGCTCGGATAAATAATATAAAAAATACAAACCGCCAATTCTTTCAACATTAAAATCGTTGCACTACCTCTTTAGGCTGAAACGAAGAGGAGCTGTTGGCTAGTGTCGGCGCTAAGGCGTTACAAGTAACAGCGTTACCGGTAAAACTTTACTTCTTCCGGTACCGTAGTGACGCACTCGTTACGTTTTCCAAGCAGTAACGGATAACGTACTTACATTCCTTATTTCGGGTAACGGCTAACGTAGTTACGTTGCTCGTAACGTCTTCTCAAGAAGTAAAAAAATCGCGTTTCAATTTGTTTCGTGCTTTTTTTTTTGCGCCAAGTCACGTGAATTCTTGCACAAATCCTACACAAAAAGATAAGGTAATTATGTTAAATTTCCGCATGGACAGAAAATTTCATGCGTACTCGTAACGCCAAACCAGAAAAACGTTTAAATTCATACATAAAAATGTAATGCGCGTTACTTTTTATCCGTAACAGTAACGTGTTCGTTGTATTTTGACATAATATAGGTTGGTAAGGGATTCCTCTTAATTACAAGTAACGTCTAACGTATTTCGTAACTCTTTTTTTTCGGTAAAGGCTTCGACATTGTTGTTTGCTGAGCAGGACACAAATGCCAAAGACTTTACTGTTGTCACTGACAACCCAAGAAGCGCAGGGCGTGACTTATGGTGAATTCGAGTGGTGCTTTCAGCGCGCTCTAGAGCGCTGCTTCGAGAGCGCGCCAGATCGTTTAGTGGAGAAAGAGCTCGGCGACGTGATCGCTTGGTTCATTCCCAGGGCTTTCCTCCTTCCGAGACAGTGCCAGGGGGCATGGGCGTACCAACCGGGGGGGGGGGGGGGTCTTGCCGCCCCTCCCAGTTTTCAGAGGGGGGGGGGCAAGGCATGTATTTTGCCCCCCACCCCCCACCCTGCTGCAGATTAAGAAAGGTCGTAATTTTCGCTCACAATGTGCGAAGAAACGAAAGCGGTAGCTGGAGCACGGTCGCGTAATGCGAGTGGAATGATGCCGTCATGTACATGAGGGCAGAGGTGTGACGTGATTAAAGTCTGAACCGCATGTAAGCGATTTAGCGAGCGACGGAGATTTCTAACTGTCGTCGTCGCGTCGCTCGGTTTTTGGATTTCTGGAAAACGTCGCTCATCGCCTTGGTCGCTTCTCCCGTCGCTGTTATGCGGTTTGCCTCGTCGCGTGACTGACCGAGCGACAGCGAAGCGGGTCGCCGTCGCTTGTCTCGGCGGTCGCCAAATCTCTTACACGCGGCTTGTATTTAATTCTCATTGCCATCGTTGTTGGCGTCGTGGATGCCATTGACTACTGCCACCAGTGATCCGAAAAGTAAGTGGGTGGAGGCTTCTAAAACCATTCAACATTACACGTAGCAACTGGATACTGCCATAGTGGGGTTTTGCATAACGCGAGTAACGTTTGAAAACAAGTCTTTCAAGCTGACGACACGATGACTCTCCCTCCTTTGCGCACTTCTTGGCGGGACGCAAGGGCTGCCCTCTTCGCTCGCTTCGCGCAGCACGGCGTAGGGAAGTCCTGACTTCCCTCTCTTCGCGGCGAGAGGGGAAAAAAAATAAAGTTTTTCTATTTTTCGCGCACGTGTCGACGACAAGGGATGAGTTAGAAAGTTCGAACTCTTTGCAAAATGTCGCACGTGAAGCTATCGCATTAAAAGTAGGACAAGTTTGTCCTCCAGTTCTACATTAGTAGAGCGAGCGTTGGAGAAGAGTTCAGCCCCGTCTTGCCTTCTCTCCGGTGTTCGCTCTGGTAAAGATGGGAGAGTGGAGGACTTTGCGGGAAGTGGGAGTCCTGCTTTTTTAACCTCCAACAGTGTATAGTAAAGTGTATTTGTGAGTGCCATAGCAGATCTTCCTCCCTCTAGAGCTTGTAGTGTTCGTATCTACGTCTTGCACATGTCTTTTGCGCTAATTGTTATCACGAGAAGAACCTGCTATGGTCCCCCTCCAGGAAGACCATAAAAAAAAAACAAAAAAAAAAACAAAAAAAAACGGACTATTGTTTGTCTTTTTTCCTCTTACTCCTGGAAGAAGAAAGAGATGGCGGGAGCGTACCATGTGCGGGGCAAGGAGGATGTCGAGATCGACCTTGTTCTTGTCCGTGTCCTGCTTAGAGATCATGTGGAGCAGCTGCGCGGCCGCTTTGTGCTCGGCCGGCAGCAGGCTCGTGTTGTGCACCAGTTCCTCCAGGAACTCGGTCGTCAGCTGAAGCAGCTTGGGGTCGTTCTCAAAATCCTGCGTTTTTGCAATTCGCAGCACTGCGTTGAGACTTGTTAAGGTGGAGGCTTGGGTGAGTTGGTGGTTTATTACAGTGATCTCTCGTTAACACAGACCCTGTTAGTATGGGTACGTTGCTATTTAGATATACAACGTTTTCGGGGACAAACCGGGTAAACGCATGCATTGTTGTCTCGTTGTTAAGGAAAACTCACATAATACACGATTTTTTGCTGGGAGAGGAGGTGTTCATTTTAACAATTACAACGGCGCAAAAAAAGACGAAGACAACAGTGGTTCTTGTTTGTCTTTCGGTGTGTCTCATTAAATCTTTGTTGCGCTGTCATTTCCTGGAACACTGCTATGAGACTTGCGAGTGGGTTGCACTGTGTGTTTGTGTGTCTTGACTTTGCATGAAATACGCTTTTTATAAATGAGGCGAAGTATGGTGTGAGTGTTTGTTCTGCGAAGTCACTCTTCAAAGCCTCGATCTCGTGTATGTAGACTTCGCTGCTAGGGGATAGCGTAGAGTCCATATTCACAAAAAAGGACCAAGCGATTTGTTCAACATTCGAGCCACCCATGGTGATAAATTAACCCGAGACTGGGGCAGGAGTAAAGCGTTTAAAGTGGTAAACGTTTTTTTCCCCCTTTTTCTGCTCCAGTTTCGTGTTAATATCATCATGAGATTCTTTTCAGCTCGCCTGCACAAATTAGTTTTTGTGAACCGTTTTGAACAATAATTTGGGACACCTCAAGTACTCGAGCTTTCAAAACAAGAACGGCAAAGCCGAAGTACCTGGATTTCTCGAGACTGGTAAAGAGGAGAAAGTGAGGGCTTGGTGGGCTTTTGGGTGCTACCGAATGCGTTACGAGTGCTTATGACTGCTTCTGACCAGATGGTTGCTTGCTTTGGCAATCGAGGTCCACGCAATGCATTGAGGTGGAACGCTAGCAGTCATAAAGGCTGAATTACAGATTTGTGTTGCAGTGGGACCGAGTGAGTTACAACCGTTTGTAACTGCATACGTCGAGATAACACACTGGATTCGTCTATCGGGTAGCTCTGGAACATTTCAGATCTTTGTACGTTTCCCTATTTCTTTGACATAATTCGTTCACCGTGTGCTCGAAGTAATTTGGGCAATGGTGTAAGCGACCAATTCTCATGGATTGATTGTTGATTTGATCTCGCAAAGGCTGCAAAACCTTCATTTTAGTTATACTTGAATCGAAACGCACTCCCGCCGTTAGTTCGGCACCTAAAACGTCCAGATTTGATACCTGGGTCGGAAGTGTACCTGTGCTACCGAGGGATGGCGCCAATGTGCCACCGTGTTCTCTCGTCGCAAGCAGTCACAAACGCTGGCGACGCGCTCAGGCGCAAATGTCCGAAACAGTCTTTACAGTCCTTCAAGGTCAGGTGACGAGCGACGCCTACCTGAGAATGTTTGGAGACCCAGTGACGAAGCACGTTCAGGACACGCATTGTGGCAGCGGTACTGATCATCGACTCCCGCTTGGAGCGCAGACCGGCTGGGCCGGGACCCCCAGGAGGCACTCCTCCGCCACCTACAGCTCCTGCGCAAAGAGGGACTCACGTGGTCAGGGATCGAGGGGCCCAGCTTTTAAGGTCGCGCTTAAACTCATCGATTGGACGGAGATGAGACACGGAAATAGCTACTAAGTGAGCTACTGCTAAGAGTACCGATACTCCATTCGTCAACTGTCTTCTGTGTGCCGCCATTTTGTGGCGTAGTGCAGAGTGTGCGCTGTAGACCCTTTTCAAGATTCCGTGCCATCGCCTGTCCGCCATTGCTTGATCGCGTACTCTGAGCATGCATTGGACACGAGTGTGACGTCAGAGTTTTGCCGGGACTAAGATCCAATCACGGACTTCGTGCCGAAGCAATGGCGACTTTCAATGTTGCTTGATGAACTTTCGAATAGGGTCGATTGACAATGGCGGTGGTGATTCGAAAAGAAGACTTCCTGAGCTTTAGATAGGTGTCAAGAAACTCGTGCGATATTTTTTTGCTTTGTTGCGAGTCGTTTCAAAACTTCTGGAGAACGGAAAAGCGTTACCAGCGATTTCAGATAAAACATGAGATAATTGGCGACGATGCTTTTAAGCCAGAAGATAGAAGATAATCGAAGTGTTTATACTCCGAAACGCAGCTCAGTGGCTCTATTGTATTCACCTTTCCAAAGTCACTGCAGAGTGGAGGCATGCCCGGCGTCTTATGTTTAGCAGAAGGGGACCACTGCGCATGCTCAAAACGCGTTCAATTGCCAGTGAATAAAAATGGCGGCCCGTAAAATGCGATTTTTGCAGTGATCTAGATAGAGAGTTAGATCGAGAAAATGAAAACAGGTCTTTCGACTCGCACGAATAAACTGCGCATCGCAGAAAGCGGAAACTCCGTAAAAAATGTGACGCTGGGGGGGGGGGGGGGGGGGGGGGTGCTATAAATTGTGAAAGTGTAAGCACATGACGTTACCTGGGTAAAATAATACAAAAGAAAAACTATGTTTCTCAATGAGCCGACGTCCGCTTACTAAGCCCAGCATTCATCCAACTGTAATTTGAGACTGCGCGGTCTAGCCTTTATTTCATCGGAAAAACCACTGATCTCTATGACAATTGCTGGATCGCGTTTGCCCGCTCCGCGAATGCGGTCACTGGCGGCCATCTTTAGGTAGAGTTATATCACCTCTAGCCAATGTAAGCTGCTGCAGCCGCTATCATCCATCCATGGCAGATAGCGTTTTGGCAGGTGGGTTGGCAGGCTGCGGTCAAAATAGCGTGGGTGATATTGCGTGCTTGATTAAAATTATTTGACGAAACATGTTTTTGAAACCCGGCGTGAACAGTAGTCCGGTTTTTGAGGACATGGTAAAAGTTTCACGAAATCGCAGCACCGGGAGAAAAGCAGCACAGCACGTATCAAAAGTCGCATCGAAAGAAGCATCGAAAGCAGACGACGGTAAGGAGTCTGCTTTTGATGCGAGCTGCGCTGCTTTCCCCCGGTGCTGCGCTTTCGTAGAACTTTTGCCGGGTCCTCAAAGATGAGGCTACCGTTCACGCCGGGTTTCAAGAATCTGCTTCGTCGAACAACTTCAATCAAGCACGAAATGTCACCCACGGTACAGTGTACTAGATCTACGGTTATTTTTATGGCAACCTGCCGCCATTGCGCTGTCCGCCATATTACTATGATGGCTAGAGATGATATAACTCTACCTAAAGATGGCCGCCAGTGACCGCATTCCGGTCCATAGGAGGAGCTGGTCAAACGCGATCCAGCAAATAGACATAGAGATCAGTGGGAAAAACTGGCCCCTTAGGAAGACGATACTGTTTTTTTTTCAATAGTGCTACAGACACTCACAATCTAAAATGTTTTATTTGTAACGGTTAAAAAGCGTAACAGGACAACGGGCGGAAAGGAAGACACTAACACATGTCGTGCGCGTTGCAAAATTCGAATTCTAAACCTAAATATCTCAAATTGGGCACGCGAACTTAGTTTTGCCAGAAGATTTATGAATACTTTTTTTATAACTCCATTCCGAGGTGGTGAAACATTAAGTAAAGCAAACTCGGAGGTCGTGTATTTCCTATCTCCTATACCAGCCTCTTCGTTGTCTCCGCACTGGTTTATGAGCTCGCTTTCGGGTGGCTTGCTGAAACCCAAAATCCAGCAAATCCTTGCTGAAACCAATCGCCGAGCCTGGCGATCAGCAAGATAATCGCGATAATTAATTATTTTAACGAAATATATGAACAACGACCACCTGGGAGCAAGCTCACAAACCAGTGTGCAGACGACAAACATCTGGTATAGGGCGTATTAAAGTCACGGCCGCCGTTCTTGCTTAATTTTAAATATTAACCCGACAACGTTAAGAATGTCGTGTCGCAGAAAAACCGGCCTCGGTGGCGTGCCAGAAATGCTGGCGTCGGTGGCGTGACGCGAAAATCCTGATTGGTTCATAGCGTCATGACGTCAAAATCACATGATCTCGGTCGGGAGTTTCAAACAACGCTCACGAGAAACGTAGCGTCACGTGTGGAATGTTAGTAGGGTTCCGTGTTTTCGGAGTTTATTTTTCGGCATATTCGGAGGGTGTTTTTCGAAGTATATTTTTGCCTGATTCTCAATTCTCCGAAATTGAAAGTTTAATTTCGCAAAGTTTGCCATTAAAAATAAATAAATAAATAACAACCGGATGTAAACGTATGCCAAATAAAAAATAAAACGCGCTCTTAACGATTAAAATTTGTTCTGCTGAATTTGCCGTTGGTGCCATTGCACAGTGCTGACACCTGTGGGACTTGTTTGTAAACAGCGTGTCGCTTTCTTTCGCTTGAATAGAGGGCGAAGAGAGCGGTCACCGGGTATCTTGAGGTCGGCGCCGACGGCGCTGGGCAGCCGACTGCCTGCCCTGCTCTGGGGCTGCGAGCCGGGCGCCACCGCCGCGATGGCCGCGGCGACCAGGGGCTCGGGCGGGTTGAGGAGCCCGCCGTGGCGACGGCGAACGCGGCCGCGGCGCTGGCCGTGGACGAGCGGCGGGCCGAGGCCCCTGGACGAGGTGACCACCACCCCAGCCTTGCTACTATGCTGCGGGGAGTCCGGGTACTGGAAGCTGGAACGCGGCGTCGACAGGATCGTCGACTCCGTCTGGAAACTGGACCGGGGCGTCACGGATACGCTCGAGCTCTCCGTGTCGCTGCTGCCTCGCTTGCCCTGGGCTGCGCGTCGGAACAGAGCGACCGCTTCAGACCCCCGACGGACTCAAGACCTCATTAAGCCGTACTGCGGTGCTTGAAACGCTACCTCTGACTGGTGTGCTTAGCGTCATAATTCACCCATACATCAAAAGTGGTCCCGAAGTAGCTAGAAATGATATCATAGAAGTTAGAATTAGGGATGTCACGAACCGGTCGAGGTTCGAGTCCAACCAGGTTCGACTTTTTCTAAGTTTTTGTGGAAGTTCCACAAAGGTTCGACCCAGGTTCGACTGCTATGCGCATGCGCGATAGGCTGGCCAGTTGGCTTCGGATTGGATGGTGATAACTAAGGGATGAATTAAGGGCAGCACTGATTGGTTATTTCAGTTAATACAGTACAAAAATTACGTTATTAACTTCAGAGATTATAATTAATTTATTTTAATTGCAACTGTTCATAAAATTAAAATAACATTTTGCCTAACAAAAAAAAAAAAAAAAAAACTGCAAACCTAGATATGCTTGTATCAAGGTCTGGCCACACTGTCCACAAAGTCGAACCGGTCGATTTTGGTTAAAAGTTTGAGGGTTCGTCGAACCGGTTCGAAGCAGTCGAACCCCGAAAGTTCGACCTAAAAATCTGGTCCGATCAAAGTTCGCGACACCCCTAATCAGAACGCAATGCTGTCGGATCTCACGATCCTGGTGGCTGGTGGTGTGCCGTCAGCGACGTTACGTGTCGCTATGTCATGTCACACAACGAGGTGACATTGTGACTTGAGGTGACCCATAGTGGCACCCATCACGGGACTGCGTACAGCGAGTTCGTAAAATACCACAAACACAGCTCAAAATAGCCTGCACGCTCTGTCTCCGTACCTGATACTTCTACATTTTTTGCGATAATCGAGGTCCTCTCAACCAGCCACGACGCGTTGACCCAAAACACACGTCTTCAAACATTTTTGACAATACACACGGGTAGCCGAAAGCAGAATACATCCGGGGCTCAGCCGAGTAAAGGCTAATATGAACAGAGACAGTGCTCGGACGTGCACTCACCGCCGCGCACACGGAGATAGTTCATCACGTTCGGCGCAGACTGGCTCGAGGTCATCGGTGGTGGCAGCGCCCGGGCCGCGGGCCGGGCTTCGGGGGGCAGTTGTCCACCGACGGAGCCCCGGGCTGGGGACGCGGTGACCGGCAGCGGAGGGGCTCCGGCCCCCGGCGGGGGCGCGGCGGGGGGTGTCGGCGGCACCACCGACTGCAGCAAGGGTGGCACAGCAGGGGGCGTCGGGGGAGGGGTGTCGTCCGGGTTGCTCTGCACGCTGTCCTGGGTCGGCAGCCGCACGGGCGCCGTTTTCCTGCTCGATCGAGAAGCAAAATGCCCGGTGCTTGAACGTAGCTCCAACGATGCCCAGACACTTCACTATCAAGAGACTTCAATTAGGGTCCCTGGAACGCGTTTCCGACCGGTGTGCGTAGCGTCCTACACCGCCCAGGCATGAAACATGGTGTCGAAGTGGCAACAAATGACGTCACAGGAGCAGGAGCGTGATCGTTGAACTTGACTCCAACGACACGCATAGACGACACTACCAGAAGACTTCAAGGTAAGAATTAATGTTTATCAAGGCTGGTTCACATTTTCGCGTTTAACTTGGAAGCGGGGTTCACATTTAATGCAGAGCTAAATCGACACTATGAATAGCGCTGATGCAGCGCTGACATCAGCGTAACTTAGCGCTGATAATATACTGGTTAAAGTCACTATAGTGACTACTGATCAGCACTGGTCGGCGTTTCATCAGCATTACTCAGCGCCGAGGAACAGCATTGAGGTAATGCTGTGGTATACGTGTAAACAGGCTACGGTCTCACTGCTAATACATAATTAAAATGACAGTCTGCAGGGGTTGTGTGAGGCGTGTTTTTTTCTTTGTATGGCGGTCCTGTCACATTGATCATACAAGACTGTCTGCAGGGATGTTTGAAGTACACACTGTCACAGACGGAAACCGATCGACGAGCGTAAAACTGAAAATAACGTTTCAGTCGGCTAACTTGTGCCAGAAACACAAGAAAGAACGAGCGTCGAAGGCGGCGCAGCCGCGAGCGTCGTGGTGCCGGCGTGACAGCTGGCTCGCGCGTGAGTACGAGAGTGCCTCTGACTCGGCAAGGCCACGCTGGCCTCCTTATCTCTAGGTACCTCGGACATTCGGCCTAGAAAATGCAAGGGTTCAGCTAGGGCGACACCGACTCGGAAATGTCATGATGGCCTCCTTATATGTCACACACGGTATCTCGAACATTCGAGCGTCGAACATTTGGGGTAAGAGTAAACGCGTCTAGAAGTATGGAGTAACGTTCCCTCTTGGCCATGAACGCGGCAATATACATGAAGCAGACATTCATCCAACATGCCGGAGGCGCGTCCGCATATATTTCTGTCATGTCTGCAGCGATAATCGGGACTTTTGTATGATTTATGAGCAGTGTCGCTGTACATGCAGAGCATAGCCGCGACAACTGCACTCGAAACTTATCAATGAACCCTTGAAGGTGGTCGCTCCCCTCACCTGCTCGGGCTAGCTTTAGGCGACTCCTGACTTCCGACGCTTCCGACTAGCGTCGCCGAGGATGCCGTCGAACTCATGTTGCTGGGCGTCGAGGGCCCGCTGGCCTCAGCCGTCAGGGTATCCGAAGACCGGGACGGCTTTGGGGCGCCGTCGGAACCACCGGCACCGTTGCTGCTACTTGCCGCCGCGCTTCTGAGAGAAAAAAAGAGGAGACGCACGGGTTTAATCATAATCTCCTTTATTTAGAGGCCCAGTATAGTCACGGAGTGGATGATACTTATGCAACGAAGGCGCGCTGGGCTAAAAGACGCCTTGTTAATTTCGTCCTGTCAGTGGCTGCAGATCAACTTTTTGACTTTGGCGGGAAACGGGTGACCATGACTAAAGTAGCTGAGCTAGTTTCTTATAGCCTGTTGAAACGTGAGATCTGCTGTAAAAGCTCCGCTTCCAGCGCGAGGTTCTTACTTTCGATAACACTTTAGCGCAGCTAATGCGCACTCTTTTTCTCGTTACACTTAAATTCCGGTTATAACCGAACCTTAAAAAAATGGTTTCGCTTAACCAGAAAGACTCGTCTTCCACATACTTGGTAGTTTATACATGACAGTGTTCCCGATAATTGGTAATTGTAAACGCAAAATGGAAATAAAAAGCTTGGTGAAAGTTTTAAGTGGAGCAGGTTGGCGCTTTAGTGGAAGAGGTTAAGTGTAACGGGATGTAAGCGGAACGACGATCCACGTAGCAGCTATGTGTTTTACATAAAAAATGAAGCAAAGAAAACTGGCGTTCCAGATATTATCCTTGATCCACATAAAATTTTGACGTGTGCCAGAGATAATACGTGGAACTTCAATATAACTGGGAACTATGTGGAACCAGGTTAAGAGTGCACGACTGAAGGCAACCAGCAAGTTCTGTAAGCGAAACTTCTCCGGGTCTTGTGTTGCAACAGGCTAGTGACTAGAGGGCAAGAAGCACAGGGCGTCTCTTTTGCATGCCAGCTGCCAGCAGTTACTTGTTGCTTTCCGCCGTGCTTTGACTACGCGTGCCCGTTCGTAGCTTACGAGACGCCGAAATGGCATCGAAGGTAGAAAGCTCTCACTGGAGGCAGGGCAACTGAACCCTGCCGTTCTTATCTGTGGGTGGCGTACTTGTTCTATAGTCTGTTGCAACATAAGATCCGCAGTAGACGCTCCGTCTCCAGCGCGAGTTTTTTTAGATTCGATAACACTTCGGCACAGGAGCAGCGAAAGCACGACTGAAGGCGACCATCAAGTTCTGTAAGCGAAACTTCTCCTCCGGGTCTTGTGTTGCAACAGGCTAGTGACTACAGGACAAGAAGCGCAGGGCGTCTTTCTTGGATGCCTGCTTCCAGCTCGTGTTAGTTGCCTTCCGTCGTGCTTCGTCTGCGCGTGCATACAGGCAGATCACGAGACGCCGAAGCGGTATCGGAGGTGGGAGGAAGCTCGCGCTGAAGGCGGTACAACTGTTGGATCTGCCTATTGTTCTTGTCCTGTCACCGACTATAGGTACTTTGGCGAATACCAGGTGAGCAGTCATCGTGGAATGGCAAAACGACTGCGTTTTTACATTTCTAATTTGTTAAGTTTTATATGTTAAGTTTTCATATGTTTAAATTGGAGCTAAATTGCTTTGATGCTTTACTTTTTATAGCTAATTATTTATTTTATAAGTTATTTTGTTTGTCGCAAGTTTGGTGAAATTGTGTAACTATATATCAACCTCTCTTTTAGTGACCTCCAAGAAAAGGTTGACAGTATTGCGATATGAAATAATATATAACTATAATAATTACTGAGACGGGGGAAAAGGGGGACAAAGGAGAAACACAAATCTCCAAACGCAGCTAGGTGGCTTGTGCGCGACTGAACAAAATTCGCCTAGCCCTGGTATCGAACCAGGGACCTCCACGTTTCCAGTGGAGCGCTCTACGAAGTGAGCTAACCATGAGCTAGACGTCAATAGAGCAAACAGTTTATAACACCTACCACCAGTCAAACACCAACAAGGGTGAAAAAAATGCAGGCCGTTAACTCTTGTTGGTGTTAGACGGAGGGCAGCTGTTAAAACCCGTATGCTCTACTGACGTCTTACTCCTGGTTAGCTCAGTTAGTAGAGCACTTCAATGGAATTAGAGAGGTCTCTGGGTCGACACCAGGACTAGGCGGATTTGTTCAGTCGCGCACCAGTCACCTAGCTGAAAAATTGTGTTTGTCCTTTGTCCCCCTTTTTTCCCGACTCCAGGGATTATTATCCTTATTCTTGTCCAGCTCGGCTGCGCCTTTGCATTTAATTGCATTATCATCGAATCCCTCTGCTCGTGTGGGAGAAGATGATAAAAGTTGGGGCGAATTGCTAGGCAATTGTGTTGCTTACGTGAAACGCCCTAGCATCACAAACGTTTAGCGATACTTTGAGTTTCTAGACGCCAGACTCCTTCATTCACGGCGCTCTTCATCAGATAGTTTAACACGTACCACATGTGCAGTTGATGGTTGTTCCTAGAATAAAGCGATACTATCTCTAATAGAGCTGATAAACATGGCGATCTTCCAGATCCTTCCATACATGCGAGGTCCTCTCCCTCAGTGCGCACAGGTGGTCCAACTCCTCCTCGTCTACCTCACTCCTCCTCGCTTACCCGTTTGGTCACGTGACCTGCCCCGTTAACCAATCAGCCACTAGATTTGCGCTCACGCTTATCAGGCTCAGAGGTCGGCATTTTAGGTCGCCCTCACTCACCCTCACCCTCACAGCCACACTCACCTAAGCCCCTCACTCACCCTCACCCTCACAGCTACACTCACCTTCAGCCCCTCACTCACATTCACCCTCACAGTCACACTCACCTTCAGCCCTTCACTCACCCTCACTGAACCTCACGCCCCTCACCGCCCTCACGGCCCTTACGCCCCTCACTCACTCATGGCCCTCACGCCACTCACCGCCCTCACGGCCCCCATGGCCCTCACCGCCCTCACCGCCCTCACGGCCCTCATCGCCCTCACCGCCTTCACGGCCCTCACGCACTCATAGCCCTCACCGTCCTCACGGCCCTCACCGCCCTCACGGCCCTCACGGCCCTCACGCACTCATAGCCCTCACGCCACTCACCGCCCTCACGGCCCTCACCGCCCTCACGGCCCTCACCGCCCTCACGGCCCTCACCGCCCTGCCAGAGGTCGGCATTTTAGGTCGCCCTCACTCACCCTCACCCTCACAGCCACACTCACCTAAGCCCCTCACTCACCCTCACCCTCACAGCTACATTCACCTTCAGCCCCTCACTCACCCTCACCCTCACAGTCACACTCACCTTCAGCCCTTCACTCACCCTTACTGAACCTCACGCCCCTCACCGCCCTCACGGCCCTCACGCCTCTCACTCACTCATGGCCCTCACGCCACTCACCGCCCTCACGGCCCTCACGGCCCTCACCGCCCTCACGGCCCTCATCGCCCTCACCGCCCTCACGCACTCATAGCCCTCACCGTCCTCACGGCCCTCACCGCCCTCACGGCCCTCACGGCCCTCACGCACTCATAGCCCTCACGCCACTCACCGCCCTCACGGCCCTCACCGCCCTCACGGCCCTCACCGCCCTCACCGCCCTCATGGCCCTCACCGCCCTCATGGCCCTCACCGCCCTCACGCCACTCACCGCCCTCACGCCACTCACGCACTCATGGCCCTCACGCCACTCAGGCCAGCTTCAGATGGGGCAATTTCGCCCAGAAACTTTACGTCGCAACACCAGCAACACGCACCGCCCGCGATCACACGCAGCAACCAATTGCTGCAATTTGCCATCGTCATCATAAAATTTTATTTTTCTTGCACTATTTAGACATAATTACGCGTTATAAACGTGTTTTTATGCATTTAAATCTCGTTAAGAATACTAATGCACCTTTCTGAAACAGTTTATTTCCAAAAAACGATCGATTTCAAACGAGAACCAAGTCTTTCGGTGTCATTATCACCGGCACGAGGTATCACGTAAAATTTTTGCGTCCCTGATTAGATGCAGCCGCTTCAAACGTATTGGAATTGCTCCGAGTTGCTTGCTTATTTCGAGCCGGACCCGATCTCAGCAATTCGTGTCGATCTAGGGAAAGCTTGAGAACAACCCGCCATTAACACCAAAATTGCTGAGAAAGATGCTCGATCTGAAGGGGGCCTCACGCACTCACCGCTCTCACGGCCCTCACACCACCTCATGCACTCACCGCCCTCACGGCCCTCACGCCTCTCATGCCACTCACTGCCCTCACGCACTCATGGCCCTGACACCCCTCACGCACTCACCGCCCTCACACCACTCACGCACTCATGGCCCTCACGCCACTCACCGCCCTCACGCCCCTCACGCACTCATGGCCCTCATACCTCTTACCGCCCTCACCGCCCTCATGGCCCTCATGGCCCTCACGACCCTCACGGCCCTCACCACCCTCACGGCCCTCACCGCCCTCACGGCCCTCACGGCCCTCACCGCCCTCACAGCCCTCACGGCCCTCACCGCCCTCACAGCCCTCACGGCCCTCACTCATCCTCACACTCATGAATTTTCCTGGTTCAGAAACTCACTCACCCTCACCTCACCTGTGAAGATGAGGGTGAGTGAGGGTGAGTGAGGGCCCTCATGAGTGAGGTTTGCCGAGGTATGATCAGGCTTCACGAAATGCTGAGCACATAGACAAAAAACGTTTCGCTTTAAAAATAGACAGGATGCATGAGCCTGGCATCCTCTCCATCAAATTGAAGCACACAATGTGTTCACATCGAGGAGGTTACGGATTAGGAAGTCGTAAACATTGTGGGAGGACAGAGTAGATGACACGATGGACGTGGATGCTGATGGTGGATATGGTGAATATGACAATCGATATGGCGACGTGAGTCTAGATTCGCGAGCAGCATGACGGTCCGCTTGATTCTGGTCTTCGTCTGCCCTATTTACGGTAACAGAAAGGAAAATATTCAAGTGCGATGGCAGTGAACGTGATGAAGATAGACAGAGTGTACAGAGAGCGGCTACAAGGTCAGCCATGTGCTGTGGCACATGGCTCACCTTCCTGCCGGAGGCTTCAAGTGCCAAGTGGCAAGATGGCTGACGCGTCGTTACTCCGAAGCGTAAATATTTAGTAGTGGCTCTATTATCAGAGCCCAAAGGAGGGATGCACTCACGCGGTCGACTGCATGGAGACGTCCTGCGTGTGTAGAAGCTGTCCCCCGAGGTAGCAGAGCGAAGACATTCCCTGCGTCTCGTCCGGCGGGGCCAGCGTGGCCCCCTGCAGAGGCAGCGTGTGGACGAGTCCTCCCGTGGCCGGCTCGGGGGTCGGCGGAGGAGGCACCAGGATGGGCTCCGGGCTGGGAGAGACGACCTCGCGGATCCGCTTGAGCGTTTGCTCCTTCAGCTGCTCCTCTTCGACTGCGCCAAAAAGTGCCAGAGGGCGACCAAGTCAAAAGACTCATCATCAAACTCCTCGTCGCTTAAAAAGAAAGTTCATTGAGGACTGCCATGTTCATGGCCTCGTCTGACTATTTTTAGTGCGCATAGATAATTTATTGCGTGGTCTGGTTTTTGTCGTACTAGGTGTGTTACCTCGCACCTTAGTGGCTGACCATTAGAATGACTTGTCCCTGATGTACGATCAACTGTTCAGGCACACACCTTATCATCATCTGAAAGGTAGTTCTTGAAAAGATGTTGTGTTCAATAGCTTCAAAAGTTTTTTTATTTGCGCATGTACGCCTGTTATTTGTCGTACTATCTATGATACTTTAGTGTCCAACTATTAGGATGACGTCTCTCTGATGCGCCACCACCAACTATTTAAACATTAATTAATCTTATCATCGCCTCAAAAGGAAGTTCGTCAAGAGATGTCGCATTCGTTGGCACCAACAGTTATTATTTTTACGCGCGCAAAGGCCCCATTTATGACACTTTCCTCTCTGGTCATTAGGATGACCTGTCCATGATGCTCCACAAATTGTTTGGTCATTCATCTTATCATAACGCCGGAAGAAAATTATTAAAAAATTACTTCGTTCAATGACCCCAGCAGTTCGTTGTTCATAGACGCAGACTATTTAACTTATCTGTGAGTTTTAGACTACCTTTAATGATACTTTAAGTTTTGGTCATTAGAAGTCTCTCCATAATGGTTTGGCCCCGGACCGAGCAAACGCGCAAGTTTAATCCATGTTTAGTTTTTTTTGCTGTTCCAGGTATGATAGTCCAACATCAGTCCCTTATGGTTCAGCCCCGGAACAGGCAGAAATAAGCTTAATTACTGTTCGGTTTTTTGTTGCACCATCTACGCATTACACTAACACCTGGTCATCATGATGACCTGTCCCTGATGATTCAGCCCTGGAACAGAGGGACAGTTAGAAAAGACACCGTAAGCTGGCGAACGTTTGTTAACTTTTGGGGTTCCTTCTACTGCATGGTGTCTCTAGCGACCAGTACACAAGGCTTGCGTTGATGTCACAACAGTGACCACTGTGGCGACATTGCTGCTGAGCGCGTACCTTTTGCGGCGCACATTCAGCACCACAGCATTTCTTTTTCTAGGAAAGAACACGCAGACATGACCGCCAGCACGGTGGAACGACGTCACATCGAGCTATAAGTCGACACACACACTGACAGATGGCGGAGCGTACACTTTCTGTAGCTGAGCCTCCAGTGTTGCTGGTTCCTGGAGGCCTGCTGTGCCAGGTGGAGCTGCTGCTCGGCCAGTTGCTGTGCGCTGGTCTGGGCGCCGTGGGGGACCTGCGCGTCTCCGGCCTCGGACAGCATGCTGGCCGTGCTTATGCGCCGCGAGTAGTCGTACTCCACCACCAGCATGCCGAGGTCCCCCGTGGGTACGCCCACCGCCGCGGCGGCGACTACGGACACTGCACCGCCACCACCACCGCCGCCGCCGCCGCCGCCACCACCGCCGCTGCCGTCTACACCCACCGCGTCCAGAGATCTGGGCACCGCGAAGAAACGACACGTTTTAACGGAGAATGAGTTTCGTCCGCCGAATTCTACGAGAAAATCGGCACGAAAAAACCGCCACTAAAGACGGTGACATCACGTAACATTTTTAGGGAGTCGTTTTTCACATCCGATACGGTACGATAAGCCCTCGGGTACGAACTGCGCATGCGCGAGTCTTCTGAGGAAGCGCATGCGCAGTTCGTATACCGGAGGGCCCATTGTACCGTATGGAATGTCCAAAAACGGTTCCCTCAAACTTCCTGTTGTGACGTCATGTGACAACGTATGATGCCGCGAGACATCATAATGAAGTGACTACTACATCGTGCAGTCATGACGTCATAATGAGGTCACGTGACTGCGACGTCATGATATCATATGACACGGTGACGTCACCTAACACAACGACGTCGTGTGATGTCACAGTGATGCAGCGTCATGACGTTGCGTGACGGTCACACATCCGCGTATGGTGTTCAACGAAACGAAATGGATCAGCGGAGCTCCTGCCCATGCGTACCTGCGGCGACATCTGCCGGGAGAAGCCGCGAAATTCGGTGTCGCGAATCGCACGTGGGCATAGCCGAGCCAAGCTGTCAGCGGCTGTTCTCGCTCGGAGCGCTACCCCGATAGGTGATCACTACGAGGCATGAGTCTCGAGGATGAGTCTCGAGAAAACAGCGGAAAAGGAAGACATTTTATTTATTTAGTCTACAAAGAGGACACACGTGCGTGATACTACACATTTATCTAATATGGACAGTGAAATCACTGCGAGTGGTGGTCACTTTTCTTTGCAACTTTAACCTTTGGAAACAGATAAATCTCTTTACGCTACCACAAAGAAAAACATAAAACGCTGTCACGTTTCAAACTCATGGCCAGCGTTAATCAGCCATCAGGGGTTGTACACCGAGCTCGAACAGCCGATGAGCGCTTTGCTCAGCCGTGCGCATGTGCAACTTGCGGTACCTTGCAGACCGCTTCTCCTGGAAGATATCGCAACATGTATACGCAAGGCCACGCGCTCCGCCGGTTCGTTTTGTTTCATGGAGCACTGTACCACATGCCAAGCTCATTCACAGCACATTCAATGCCCCCCGGGCTTTGTCAGCCTAATTAGGCTGCTGTATATGTTTTCAAAGACATGACATCGAATAACCCGAAACGAATCAACACCTGGCAGCTTAAACGGTGAAGACTGTATTTTTCACTATTTTTCAATAAAAACTGTGCTTTTCTGTAAGAAAAAGGGTGGGGAAAGGGTGTCGGCCATGGCTGTAAGTCTCTGGAACACTTTTTTACACCCTCGAAGCTGCGGTAACACTGCCCATACATCATACAAAAGACAGTCTGCTGTGGTGTGATTCTTCCCTGTATGACGTCACATTTGTCACAGAAAAAAACGCCTACAGACATGTTCGAAGCATACATATGTATCAAGATATGTATCAAGGAAATATGCTTCGGACATTTCTGAGGCGTATCCGCGGATAATTTTGTCATCATGTCCGCGGAGAAACTCCGCGTCTCTTACATATGCATGAAGGAAACATGCTTCGGACATTTCTGAGGCGTATCCGCGGATAATTTTGTCATCGTGTCTCTGGAGAAACTTCGCGTCTCTTACATATGTATCAAGGAAACATGCTTCGGACATTTCTGAGGCGTATTCGCGGATAATTTTGTCATCATGTCTACCGAGAAACTCCGCGTCTCTTACATATGTATCAAGGAAACATGCTTCGGACATTTCTGAGGCGTATTCGCGGATAATTTTGTCATCATGTCTGCCGAGAAACTCCGCGTCTCTTACATATGTATCGAAGAAACATGCTTCGGACATTTCTAAGGCGTATCCGCGGATAATTTTGTCATCATGTCCGCGGAGAAACTCCGCGTCTCTTACATATGTATCAAGGAAACATGCTTCGGACATTTCTGAGGCGTATCCGCGGATAAATATGTCATCATGTCTGTGGAGAAACTCCGCGTCTTGTCACGAGCGGTGTGCCGCGAGAGCTGTGTGGCGGGAGTTGTGCGTTTACCCCGTGGAGTCCTGCAGCGCGGCGCCCATGGCGTTGATCTGCAGGTCGGGGTTATAGTGGACTTTCTTGAGGGCCTCGAGCACTTTGACCCCGTCCGTGAACACGCGGTACGTGAGCAGGAACGTGTTCAGGAAGTCAATGCTCAGGAAACGGAGGTCCGTCAGGCGCTCGAAGAGGCGCTCGGGGCTCGCGTAGCGGATCTGAAAGACAAGGAACTCCGGTCAAAACGGAGAATCGGTTCGCGGGAGTACGCAGCGGCAGGCCACGTGTTGTCGGGTCCTTAGGTCACAGGTCAGGCGCTGACCATGGCGTCAGAAGCACCATTTTACGTGCCGTAAGGTCAAGTAACCACGTCACGCAACGTCGAATCACTCGAGTAGATTACGCCGCGTAGGGTCACGTGATCATGCCACGTAAAGCTACGTCACCTGACCGTGTCGTGTGACGTCGAGTCACGTGACTAGGTCACGTGGCCTCCCTCCGAGTGACCATGTAACGGGGCGTCAGGTCAAGTGAGCACATTGCGTGCAGTCAGGCCGCTCGATTTTATCACGTCACGTCGGGTCACGTGGCGTTGGGTCAAGCGACCACGTCACGCGGTGTCAGGTCACTCGATCATATCGCGGGATGTCAGGTTATGTGATGTCACGTCAAGTACCCATGTAGGTGGTGTCAGGCCACTCGATCATGTCACGTCATGTCAGGTGAACAAAGCTACTAAAGTTGAATATGGCGCCTCTATCATGACGGGTCAAGCGACCACGTCATGTCAGGTGAACAAAGCTACTAAAGTTGAATATGGCGCCCCGGTGTCGCCCCCTTATCTGCAGTAGAATCTACTCAAAACCGCTCGGCTAGTTTTATTATTTCCAAGTATCACTCTACATCTAGGTTCACCAATTGCCCAATCTTTCACTTTGTAGAAAAATATCTCCTCTAAGTTTGTTTCATAAGGTTTATCGCTCTACTCACTTCGTCATGCGCTATTTTCAATCTGTCTTACATAGCGTCGCGCATTGATCACGAACTAAACGTTGGAATCCCCCGCTGTAATACATTCACTTTCAATGCTTCTTTTTAGTCAAAAATCTCCATAGAGCCTTCGTACAGCCATTGTCGCTATTATTGATACTGAATATTTTAGAGATTAAATCACTAATTTTCTACACGGTGCGTCTAATGTTTTTTGTGTTTTTGCGTTGGTATTGTTTCTATCCTGTTGTATTTTTAACCCACTTCTCCCTGCAACGCCCTCGAACCATCAGGGACAAATAAATGAAATGAAATAAAACTGCCCTCCGGCCACGTGGCGTCAGGTCAAGTGATCACGTCTCGTGGTATCGGGTCTCTTGATTATACCACGGGACGTCAGGTCATGTGACGTCACGTAAAGTGACCGTACGTCACGTGGTGTCAGGTCACGTGGAGTCAGGTCAAGTGATAATGTCACGCGGCGTCAGGCCATGGGCCGTCGTGTCAAGCGACCCTTTAACGAAGCATCGTCACGTGACCATATCACTAACGTCCTGTCACGAGACCTGACCTAATCCGATGACGGAGGTTTTCTTGCAGTTCTTATGTTGCACGAAACTACGGGCAGGATTTCCCTGCGTGATTTGCGGTACATAGGAGCTCAGGGAGACGGTATCACTTGGCGAGATGCTCGTTTTAAGAGTATGTCTGACTCAAAGGAATTGTCCGGTGAAATTCGTATTCCAGAAAACTAATAAATTATATTGTCATTGTTTTTAGTAATATCATCCGTACAATATCCAAATGTTTAATCCTCCGTCGCACAAGTAATTCAAACTGCTCAGATTGCACCAGCAAAACGCACGGCGTTTTTATTGGCAACAGCGGAAGCTCTGACGTAACACCATGCACAGAGAACCTTGACAGCTCTTGACTGCTATCTCAGTAAAATGACTTCGTTCTAAAAAAAGACAAGATTTACGGCATTGAGGGAAGCTCAGTTCTTCGACGATGATCTCTGTACGCACCATCAACCATGTTGATCAAAACAGGGAATAACTCAACGCCCGCGACACTGACGTTACCATATCTGATGTGACGTCACGACACGACCAGCCATGCATACTGGCGAAATTTGGCGTGAAGTTTCGTATTGATGCACAATATTGATTTAACGAATATTGAGGCGTCTTTTAATGAAATAAATATCACCTCTAATTATATTTAGGACTTCTCTACGTGACCAGCGCAAAAAGCTTAGTAACTTCCTGATGTCACCGAACAATCCCTTTAAAAAAATTAAAGGCACGATTTAATTAAAAAAAAAGGTTGGCAAAGCGTGATGCAAGTTGTTAGTATCTACTAATGTTTAACGAGGTCGTCACCCAAGAAACTGAAATACTTTTCATTTTGTCAAATGGGCTCGTTTGGTCAGTACGGAACGCAAAAGAGCTCCTGCTGTTTTGGAGAGCACTTGTAGCATATATTATAGGTCACGATCGCATTCTGAAGACGTTAAAAACGGCGTTCGCGACGAGTGTGTCGACTTCTGCACGTAACCGCCTTTTGCAAAAGCGTTCCTTTAGTTAAAACGAATAAACTCTACCGATGCATTCTTGTTGGGTGGAACTGTAAGATAAGGTCGTTACATTTTGCGGAAAACGGTGAAGAGAACAATGCTAGTTCTTTTTGGTCAGGTACAGTTTTTATATTTCCGTCATAATTCGTGGCGTACTTTCGCGATAAAAGAGAAAGTGCAACTGCACTTTACGTTTTCGACTCGTGTCTGATTTCTAGCACTGTGGTGTGTACAATGTGCGCCGAACAGTCTGTTTTGTTTTGTTAGTCCTTATTATACCACGAGCTAATACTTATCAAATTTCGTCTAAAATTTCCCGAATGTAACGACATCTTTAATATGTTGCATGCTATTGAACGTGTAAACGCGGCGTGTCTTTTTATGTCCTATATATTTTCTAATGGGACTTCATTTACAAAACAAAAGAGGGAGAAATAAAATCAAACATTTTTCTTCTGCGTTTGAGAAAGGTCGATACCTGGATGATTACATTATACGTTCTATACTGACCTAATCTCACTTCGGCAACACCTACCAAATTTTAATACAAGGCAAATTGAGTGTAGTGCCAGTCCACTCAATATTCCCTTGCATAGGATGCGTCCTGTTATATATAGAAACAAATAAATAAAATTAGCAACTAGGTGGCGCAAGTCGCCGGCCAACTCAAAGGATTCAACCATAGTCGTCTATCTATGGATTTATTTGCTGCTGGAGTGAAACGACTGTTTACCTGGGGCAGCTTGCAGGAGTTGAGTGTTCGACTGAATCGGATGTCCACGTCGTCCTTGAACAGCCTGGGGTCGTTCCTGTCACCGAGAACCGAGCAAGAGACGTTTGCGTGTGACGTCATTTGGTGCCCGTGACGTTACGCTATGACGTCACAGAATGAGGCGACAATATGATGTCACTCACCTGATGGAATGTGGCATCGTGACCGACGACGAGTCGCTCATCGTGCCGTGGAAAAGGTCGTTGAAGTGCACGTTGTCGATGCACTGCGATGGAAAGAAAGCAGTGTCGTAAGCGTTACAAAAAAAAATAACGAAATACGTTACTCGTTACTTGCAATATAAGGGAACGCGTTACCGGCTGTTCCTATTCTTTTACAGATTCGTACTTTTGTCAGGTATCGCTTTTAGTGCTTAGCGACCTATACAAACAAGCCAGAGTCAATATGGCAGTTTATGCCTGATTGCTATACACTTTAACAACAATTATCCCTAAAGAAACGTGGACTTGCCAAATCAGGACATAAGAAAAGGTTTATTATGGTCCCCAATGTCTATTAGATTTTTAGGAAAGTTTGGTATGAATGTTCGATGGCCGCAAAAAAGGTTTACTAAAAAAAAAAAAAAAAACATTCTGACTACGTTAACTGTGTCTTTTTGTGTTTTTTTGATGAATGGCGTTACTTATTAGCTATTAAACTACCTTTCTGTTCAACAGTATCTTTGTTCTAGTTTGGTTCTCGTTAGAGCAATATTGTCTAAAAGTTTGCATAAGTTGGCTAAACTCCTGTTGCTAGACCAAACTTACAAGCTCGCAAATTTGCCGAACTGTTCCGGCTTTGTTACCAACCAAATGCCTTGACGTCGGTGGTTATCGGCTACGTCACACCTTTTTGCGCACCTTTCTCTTCGCCGGTCAAGGAGGCGGAGCCAATAATGCTACGTGGAAGACAAGGCCCGCGCATGACGTCACCGTAAGTGGATCCCGGACCGTTCCCACAGGCGGCAAACACGGCGAAGCTCGCCGCGAGCCGCCGCAAAGCGGCAGACGCGCGTCCGTCTTGGTGTCGCCGCATGCTAGCGTCGCGCTCGTTGTGAGACGCAGCGTGAAACGCGTTAGAGGCGACGCTGACGCGCTGGCGGCGACGCTGACGGATTGGCGGTGACGCCAATGCGGACTAGGTGGCGCTGCGTTGATCCAGTAGTGATGACGCGTAGAGGGGGTAACGGGCAGGCCTTGACTTCTAGATAACATTGGTAGGGTGTACAACGCGATGTATTTAGCGCAGACAACCCATCGGCCATTTTTTTCTCTAATTGCAATTAACAAGCTGTCGTTACAACTACTTGTATGGTGGACATGCGTCATTCAGGGTTAGAAAATATGTCGGTGAAGGTAATCGTTTTGCCGCACCCTATATAAAAATAATTAAAAAAATGGCAATGTGTTCGTGCTAACCGTATACATTGCAAGCTACTGTGGAAGGGTAGGAAAGGTTGTCCCGTGAAAACTGTCATGTCCAGTGACGACACACAAAATAACGTTACTGGAAGTTCTTTAAGACTGCTAATTTCTTGATTCACTCTCCAGGATTTTCATTCCGGTTTTTCCCTCCCTCAAAAATTATATTAAAAATATATATATAAAAAAAGAAACTACAGATGTGGTGTTTAACCGGGTACCGGATCGAACGTTTAGATACGAAATATTTTGCAGAAAGCATAACTTCATTGCTTTACGTCATAGGGAGCTCTTTTACCGGTATGGATACTGATGTTGTTCTTTGATCGTTTGCTTGATTGATCTCGAGTTGCTACGAAACATGACTGATAAAACAGACGTGATGTGTCGAAATGCTAACTGAAAAAATTGCATTAAGCTATCGAATAATCTATGCAATATAAGTACCGTAAATCTGCGCAGCGATAAATATTACGCGAAATACAACCTATAGAAAACATAAAAAAAAAACGCGCAAGGTACCTTGAAGAAATCGAAATAGCCTAGAAAGGCTGAAAAAGCAATTATCAACTACCATTAAAGCAATAGATTGTTTATATCAAGGGTCTCAAACACGCAGCCCGGTGGCCGCATGCGGCCCGCAACTCGCTGGGACACTGCCCGTGGGAAACCGGCCATGAGTCCCGGTTTTCATGTCTCAAGCGCTAGAAATGGCATGCGCCGTAATGATCTCGTCTCGTCGATTCAATTTCGCTCGAAAAGTAGCTCTGCTCTTTTAACGTATCCACATAGTTTATAGTTATCTGTGTTCATTTTCCCTTTCTTTCGCTTTATTTTTTTATTTACAGCTTTTTGTAATCTACAACAATTCCGGTACTAGGATGCAAGCGCGAGCTATTCGTTGAAGGATGCATTTCGGCTGAGCGAACTCTCGATCTGCAGGAGAAACTGTCAAAGATAAAACTACGAGGTAGGGATTCTCGCCTTCAAAAAGAATATCACCATTGAAAGGCAAGTATATGTTCAGAGTTTTGTAATAAAAATCGTCGAAAAAGCAAGAACTGTCAAATTAACTGATTGTTTTTAGGGGCATGTTGAGCTTGGTTAATTCCTGAATGAATTAAGCAACGGGAACGACAGCGTAGTTGTTAGCTTGCTCAACTAGAAATGTCAGCATGTTAGCGGGATGGTGGCACTTTAATTTTTGTCATCACATCACATGTCAGGGCTAAAAGTCGTCATATAAACAAATCAAATCTCAAACATGTCGCCGGCAAAACTCAAAGTTTACAAAAAGCATAGAGCACGAGGTCTCTTCTTTTTAAATTCTTTTGACCCCCCCCCCCCCCCCCCCTCTTCTCCCGTTTTACGTTAACCCTAGACCTTTTTGGTGTAGGCTATCTGGCCCCCGCAGTCAAATGAGTTTAAGACCACTGGTACACATCAATTCCTTCACACACACAAAAAAAAAGCTGGAAAGCTAAGCTTGAGCCTATAATTATCGATTCGGGGCTCATTATAGATAACATGTCAATTCTTTCTGACCTAGTCGGGGGTTAAGTAAACGTTTAATCGTTTCATAGAACTGACGACCCCCAAAATCCAACGGGACGCAGTCGCATTGCACATACATTGTAAAAAAATACACGTTGTTCGTTGCAGACATCGTGGCAGAATTATGTGCGCACACGCCTCAAGGATCTTCGAAGCATGTTTCATTCAAGGATGGGTATGCTTACAAAATGTCTGCAGTCTGCTTTTGCATGACCAGTCTGAAAGGACCGTCATACGAGGAAGAATCACCCCACAGGTAGTGTCTGGAGACTGCCTTTTGTATAGTGTATCAGCGGCGTGACTGCGGTTTTACCGGCTGAGGAAGTTGTTCTAACTTACTGTGGCTCGAAAAACAAAAATGAAAATGATAGCGTCTTTTTTTTTTCCGCTTTTAACAATTATTTGAATTTCCCGACCCTTTCGGCATTGTTGAAACGGACAGGGAGATAGACATGCGATCATTTACGTGTTATGTGCGTTATATTTTCATCAAAACATTTATTTATTTAGCAATTTTTGTTGGCACGGGGTATTACACGGAATTAAAGTTTGGAATTGGCTGTTCGAGATTAAATCTAAACTCACGTTAGCAAAAAAAAAAAAAAAAGTTTATTTGTTTATACACGCAGCCTTTATATGTACATACGGAGTACTCCAACACGAATACCTTTACTTTTTTGTTTTTACGAAAAAGAAATATAAAACACTGAGACTGAAATATTTTTGGAAATTCTATAAGCCCTTCCAAAATTGTCAAGGCAACAGAGTTTGACACGTTTTCGGTATGCAGAAAAACTGCGGGAAAATAGTTCTTTTGCGAAGCGATGTTCGAGGTCGCCTTTTTTATTGCTACTAAATTTCTCAACGATTTCTTCTGAAGGATTAGCTCGGTAACCTTTTGGTATTTGCGTAACTCTATCTGAGTATCGCGCAGAAGCTGACTGAAGTAATGAATCTTTGTCCCCTCTGTCCTAGGGTAGGTTTGGGTCAAACCTGTTTGTTGTGTGTGCTTTGTAGAACAACTTCCTTGAGATGCCAATGCTCTCGTCCAGAGTGTTGACACTCAACGAAAGCATATCCGGAATGTGTGCAGACGAGTTATTGAGGTAGTATGTAAGTGATCTCCTAGACAGACTTGGCAATCCTAGCGCCCGTGTTTGTCTTCTATCTTGTGTACGTCTTTTTAGCGCTTTTAACCATTGTTCAATACAGTCAACACCAACTAGCCCAACAACAAGTTCTTTTACAATCCTAGGGTCCTAGCTGGATCCTAATAGAGGTTTTCTCCCAGGCGTAAGTGCCATAGTTCTGTTCTCTGGCGTTTTTATGACTTTTCTCTGGCTCGTCACAAAATCGTTAAAGTACCAGACACAAAACCAAAGATGTACGAACCAAAGAACAGGTAGTGAAAGCCTAAATGTGATATTTGTTTGGCCATTTAGGCCCAAAGTTGCCAGGCTGAAACTAGAGAACCATAAGTGAAGCACAACTCTGACATTTGTTTGGTGAATTAGACCCCAGTGATCGAGATGACAACCAAGCTACCAACAGTGAATCCTTCCCTTGGCACTCGTTTAACGAACTAGGTCCAAGGCACCCAGACTCTGGTAAAAAAAAAAAAAGGTGAAGTTGGGTTCGGTTCTACCTTGACTTCTTTGGGCTTTTTGAAACGCTAAGTTCCCTAACAAAAATTACATCTTGGCAAAAAGCAAACACAGAAACAACTGTGCTATTTAGGTTAATGGCACTGAATGGTTCCAATAAGCGAAAGCAACATGTAGATACGTTCTAGGTTCTTTTCTTGTGTGTACATTTAAAGTAAGTGATTGTAGTGCGTGCGTCCTTGAAAGGTGTTTGTGTTGTCCAGTGGTAGCGAGTGAATCTTCTCACGCGTAGTGACAACCGTTGCAAGCATGTTTTGATTTATGACAGGCTAGGCTCACTTCTCTTGACGGGAACGAAAGTCACCTCGCACCCTGTCACAGCTTAGAGATAGAAAACAAATAGTCAAGATTATAAGTAACGCATTATATAAAAGAAGACATTTTTATTTTGTAACTCGCCCGATTTGTACATAAAAGTAGAACAGATAAGCCTATACGTACTACAAAATGGGTTTATTGTTGTCAGTTCAGTTTAAATACTTTCCATTTGTTTGCTAACAGAGTTGAGGAAAGTGAGCCCAACCTGCACTCGAAATCGACGAGAATTGCAAAAGTAAAAAGGTCGTTTTAAAGACTGATACTCCTTTGGTTTTGTTTCATTTGTCCGATGGTGTGCCACTGCTGTCCACGTATCTCCGTGAAAATTGAGCAGTAATTAAATATATATAACGTACAAATTGAAAAAAAGGAATTGTTCACATTTCATTAAAAGATCCCCCGATAAAGTTTATTGGAAAATATTTGACACTTTATTAAGCGTAGCCTCGACCAGTTTTTCCGGTAGTGGTGCCTGCCAACTATTGTTTCCCACTAGTTAAAGAAGAGGAAATTTGTGATTCGTATCGTGGATTTCCTAAATAAACCAAAACTGTATTCGAATTTTTTTTTAAAATTATAAAGGGCAAATTAATGACGTTAATTGCAGAATTCCAAATTACGGAAGGAAACGTACGAAAGACGGGACAAAACGCAGCATGAAAAGAACGCCCTGTAAAGCGTGCACCACCTTACGCTCCGGAGCTTGTGGAGAAGCCAACTCGTAGCCACGGGAAGCGCTGTTTTTGTTGCACGCACCTATGTCAGCCGGCGAAAGCGACTCAACAGGCACGACGGGCTTATGGACACGAATTATTTGCACTAGTGACATCTACCATTGCGTCGGCCGTAATATCTGTAGTTTATTGTCCGCTTGCAGACGCAAACTGCCCTTATTGTAACTTACCACCTTTTTCGTATTATTGAGTTCTGTCAGTGCAAAGCTGACGAAAGCATCTTACGGTATCAGCACAATTTCTGATCGTGTTAACTGAACAGCCCTGTTAGAGCTGCGATTGTTGACGTCTTTCCCACGTTAGGTTTTTATTTGATAGCCCTCTGGTTGGTGTACGTTTTTATCTTTAAAACTGCACCGCTTTATTTGTGCATTAAGGACGACACTCGGGGGCATTCGTGCTTCTCAGGTGACCAAACACTCGGGCCAAGGAACGCGGCAAAACAAAAGCGCCGTCACACTCGCCGCTGCGCCGCGCGCTGCACTCCCCGCGCTCCTACGGCACGGCGAACGGAGTATCGGCGCTAGGCTTAGCGCGGGCGGCTGCACCGTCGACGCTCGAACTGGTCGCGACCCGGGCATTGCGGACGCGTGGCACTAGCGAGGTAGGAGTCACCTGGCTGATGTCGCTAGTCCAGGCGGCCTTCTCCTGCATGGTGGGTGCGACTAGCTGCACTGTCACCGGCGGTGCGGTCTTGAAGTCGACGATGATCTTGAAGTCGAGGCCGCCGTAGTCCTTTTGCTGACCTGAGCCGCCACCAGATGGCGCCACGACCACGGCGTTGGAGTCGCCGCTGCTCCCGAGACCGCTCGATTGACTGGATACCGAGCTCACCGAGCCCTCTGCGCTCGGAAGCAGACGACGGAAGCTGGAGGTTTCGGTTTCGGTTTCGGCTTTTGAGGCTTACGTACGTTACAGCGGATTAGAAATGTTTTAGAGGCCCCGCAGCCAATTTTGACATCCTGTTGTTGCACATGGTGCTATGCGTCTTTTAAAGGGACACTGAAAGCCCTCCAAAGTTTCTGTTAAAGCGCCGGGATGAGATAAGGGCGTCACAAAATAAACTAAACAAATAAATAGTATAGCAATATTTAGGTCGTGAGTCTTATTTTGAACTATGGGCCATTTCGAAATGTGTTGCGGTTTCGAGACTTAGATCCCTATATAAAAGAATGTATCGCGAATCGCTGAAATGAGTCTCACGACGAAAATATTGGAATACAAATATGTATTCGACGAAAGATGTTTTTTTCTTTTCGGACCTGTCGTATCTAGGTGCTTTATTCCATTTTTTTTTAGTTTAGTAGCCGCTTTAGATATACGCTGCTCAGGTCTCAAATTTAAGTGGAGGAAGTGTAGACAAACTATTTTTTAAGGAGATATTAGCCTATCATTTCACGTGGGCATGGCAATAATGTGACTGGGCGTTGCTATCAGACCACAGTCCACAGAAACATCACGTGGAAAGAAAACACATAAACACAAAGAAACAGTAAAATATAGTAAAACAAAAATGGCGTCTCCACTGTTCACATCCTTGATGGAAATGCTTGCTCTCTATCGATTCAACCGGTTTTATATTTCGTTTTGAATTGGGCCCGGGAGAAACCCAATATAACCGAAGTGGCCTTGGAATTTCCGCGAAACCTCTTGCTTGTAGCTAACTGGTCAACCACAGAGCTTCAATGATCGGCCTTTTGAAACATTCACTAGTGATGTCACACAACTTAACTTTTAGTTTGGCGTTTGTAAATTGAATCTGCCCATAGCTTTATGTCTTCTTAACTGTTACATTTCAGACATACTTTTATTGCATATTACTATGTTTTCAGTGATTAGTATCTGCACCACACTGAAAGTAGCGAGACAAACCGGGCATAAAACACGAACAAAGGCGAGAAGACAACCAAGCCATAGCAGACTCATTGATTGATTCGTATTCTAGATCTTGTTTATGGCTTATGCGGACTTTATTTTACAATGCGCTATCAAGTCGTCCCATCATCAACACTGTTTTCAACTTTTAAAGTGGCCCAAAGTTGGTCTCGGCATTTGTTTAAACTGTGTGTTAGTCGGACGAAAAGATGACGAATGACTCTATACCAATTAAAGGGTTTTATTGTCTAGTCTTCCGCCTATTTCGGTATCAAAATATTAGTAAGTTGTTCAAAGAGAGCCGAGGTGAAGACAGTTGCCGATCGCTGTGGAGATTGTAACACTTCTTAGCAACAAACGAATTTACCACGCGAGCGTCTGCCTGTTGGCAAACGCGCGCAACAGCGGCATTGTGGAGATTGCCCTCTAAACGAGCATGGTGGGTTGAAGGCGAAATAGGTACTATGTTCAGCTACCAGCCGCTCGTTTACGCCCTCACCTTATGTTTACTAATTAGGATGTGACAAGCTACGATTCGTATTAGTATTTAGTGGTGAGGGTAGCGGAAAGCCGGAACATGTTGGCCACTCCTTTGGTGGGGGCGAAGCAGCGATTCGTTGTTAGTGAACTGAGTGGTAGCTCGTTGATAAATATCAATAAATCAATGGGTCGACTGATGGCAATGCCATCATACAACACACTAATATCGTTTTGGTGTACAGAGAACAGCATTATGGCTGCTCCAAAGGTTGGACTTCAACAACACAAATCACAATGTAAGGTTCTTACATTGCACAAAAGAATAATATTTGATGCTAAGACAGACACTGACGTGACATCGACACTGGATACTTGGCTCTAAGCGTTGTCACCAAGCAACTCGTTGTGCTTTCAAAGGCGAGCTCTGTAGAGTAACTCGCGACTCACTCACATTAGATCTCTGCGTTTCAAATCTCTGCGGACAAACCTGTCCTAGGTGGTTCAAACCATTGAACCACCTAGGACAGGGAAGAAGACTCTTCGAAACTTGGGGGAAAGTTCGGAATGGGGGTTTCTTCTTGATTATGATGCAACTATGGCTGCATTTATCGGAAGCTTGACATTCGTCGTGCGATATTGGATTAAGCACTTTTCAAGTCAGGATGTTAACAGGGAGTACCGAACAAAAGAAGAAAAAGGAGTGAAAACACTCACCACCATCGTCCACAATAAACTGGAACTGATCGTTGGGGTCCTCAATGAGAGTGGCATCTGCCAGCGGGATCTTGCCGACTCCCTGCAGACAGTGACATGCGCCGACCAAGCAATGCAAGACATCGGCGAAAGAGAAAAACGAAAGGAAGCACTCACTCAGAGTTAACTTACTGTTCGTTCATTGTGACTAGGGCGTAGATTTTTTTTTGGTGTTCATACAGAAAAATAACGGGTGTTTTTTTAATTATCGGTGTATAGTGGTGATCTGTTTCAGACTGATTTAAAAAAAATGGTGATTATCAATAAAAAAAGTCTTACAAAAACTAAGAGTTCAAGTCCAAGAAGGGTGTATGTTGTGACCAAAGCTGTCCTGGCTGGAGCAAAAATGTCCGGAAATTATTTTTTTTTTGGTTTAAACTGATTTTAGCAAAGGCTTGTCGGTGTTCTTCGGGTTTAACCGATTTTTTGTTTCCGACACCGACGGATGTTTTTCGGTGTCTTTTTTCCGGCTTAAAACCGGAAGGTCTATAGCCTAACTATAGCACTGCGGAGAACATAATTAGAATGTCTGCGTGGATAAGTTGAGGAAGATGAGATTAAATAGTTTATTCAGCACTATAGCACTTGAGAACGACAGAATAAAAGGGAGGTTGAAACATCGCTTAGTTTTAACTGATAATAGTAACCGGGCTGCAGAGAGAAAGAGAGAGAGAGAGAGAGAGAGAGAGACAGAGGAAAGGAGGGAGAAAGAGAGAGGAAGAGGGAGGGAGAGGGAGAGAGAGAGGGATAGAAGTAGAGGAAGAGAGAAATAAAAGGAGAGAAAGTTTGCTAGGATGGGTTCTGCTTACACCGCGGATGTGGCCGTTTCGTCAGCGGCATGCTGAGCAGTTGTCGCCACACAACCCTGAATTCATCAGTTTGTCCACCGTGTGCATCGTTTGCGTAGACAGTTTTTTTGGTTTGTTTCATTGTTAACATGGTACGAGTATGATACAAACACAAGACCGAAGAGGCGCTCGTTAATGCTCCTCATTAATGCTCCTTAACTGCGTTCTTTAGTTATATATATATATATATATATATACATACATACCGGGTTATATTTTTTATTCGAAACAGAATTTTATAAAAGGCGTATTTACTGCTACGTTAATGCCGTCTTTACTGTATGCTTCTCGAGCTGGGCGGACACTCGGGGGGAAACGATCGTCACAGTCTGGTGAGTAATTAACTGTTATTCGTTAATTAGCTTTTTAATTTGTGAAAATACACACCTGGTTCCAACCAAAAACTTGCTGAGCGTTATCGAAAACCTTTAAATCAGTCATTTTAAGAAAGACTTTGAGTGCGTGAGAAGCGTTGTGGTGCGCCAAAGTTACCACTCGTGGAGCAGGTACAACGCTTGCGGTTGCGATAAGGGCGCCCGCGCGATTTTTCCGTCTCTTATCTGGCCCCAGCCTTGTACCTGCTCCACAAGTATTGCACTAAAGTTACCACGAGGGGTAACTGTAGCGCGCTGCTGCGCTCCTCACGCGCTCATAGTCTTTCTAAAAATGACTGATTTAGGGGTTTTGGACGACGCTCAGCAAATTTCTGATTGGAGCCATAAGTCTATTGCCACTAATTAAAAAAAATTAATTACCGAATTTAGTTAATTACTCACCAAACTGTGGCGGTCTTTCGCCCCTCGAGTGTCCGCCGAGCTCAAAAACATACTGTGAAAGCGGCATTCACGTAGTAGTAAAGACGTTTATGTTAAATAACTGTTTGGAATAAAAAATATCAACCGGTATTTTGGAAGCGAAGCCCGTCCGCCGCTATCACATGCTTCCACTGATACGGTGCCGTCGCGACGCCATTAGAATGCCATCCTGAGGCCGGCATATTTATAACATAATAAAACTCCGTTCGATGTTAAAACGGTGAAATCGAAAGCACGTTACACTGGAAAACTTTGAGTGAAGGGTACACTGAGAAGGAAACCAAACAACGGAAAACTTGTGTATTTTGGTCGTAGAAGTCAAGCTGAAACTAAATATAATGAAAACGCGTGTCGTATTCTAAATAAAAACAACAGAAATAACAACAACAAGCGACTTAAACATAAAGAAATGCAATTAGAGAACGTGAAGGGTTTTCTCGGCGGTCCAGAGGTTTAAGTCAATATTTATATCTCGCTATGTTAACATTGTAACCAGGGGGCGCCGGTTTTTCCGCCCACGGGGTGTTTTTCCGACGCCGATGTGTCAGGTATAAGGCTGTGTTCTAAACTTTTCCGCTGGAGTGGCTTGTTTTATTGAGACACTTAATTCCAAATTAAACAACAACAACAATAACATGTTTTGGGTGCCTCAATAGGGCACGTGCGTAACGAAATATAAGCTTTCTCGAAAACGAAAACCACAACAACAAGTCAAACAAAACAAAATGACCCGGCGCAATATTTACGTAGTGAGACGTGATTTGCAAACGCGCTTCCGTATACATCAACTACAGTCTGTGACGTCACGCCTCTCTGGTGGCGCTGCTGTCGGCACTGCCCATGCACAGACGCTGCTTTACGCGAACCTGGTTTTTGCGCATGCGCGTTGCCAACACCTGGTGTGATCAAAGCGGGCTCGTCGGCAGCACGGCGTGTTGGCGTATAAATGCGCAAGCATAAAGATAGAAGCGTATTTCCGAATCTCTTCTAATTCGAAATTTTCCTCGCAACGTAAATATTACTCTAATTTGGACACGTGTTATGGGGACTTACATTTTGTTACGTACGCGTTATATTCAGTGACTTAAAAATTTGTGTGTGTGCAGTGCTTTTTTTTTCTTTTTCTTTAAAGATTTACTACCGTTGCTGCCGCGGTGGTGTTCGCGGGTGAGCTGCGAAACGGGGACGCACCTCGACCAGGTGCAGTTTTCCGGCCGAGGTTCGGTTGCAGAGCAGCATGTGGTTGGTGAAGAGGTAGCACTGGCGCACCACCTCCTTGTCGCCCTTCAAATTCGGGATGCGGGATCGCTGAGACTTGGCCTTCTCCGATCCCACCACGTGAATCACGTTGCCTGCGAAGAGCGGGGGCAGTGCATGCGGTTGGCAGTGAGTGAGCTCTGAGACGAGGGATGCTGCCTCGGACGCTTTTGACACGGGTACCACCAAGCAGACGATGCCTCGAGTCGCGCCGTAAGTTATAGAATCCTTTAGAGTATAAATTGCTTCTTAAAGGCCCCCTTTCGCCTTTTTTGGAAATTTTTGTCTGTCCGTCCGCGCATGTCTCCTTAAATTTAATGAAAAAAAATTGACGTCACACGACCAATATATAGATTTAGTCTCAGGCAAAATTTAGCGGGAAATCTCACATCGCGTGACGTAAACACCAATTGAGTCTTCCCGTTAAATTTAACGGGAAAATTGACGTCAGGACCTGATGTGACGTCACCGATACACCCATTCAGTTTCCCCGCTGAATTTAGCGGGAAATTGACGTCACGATCTGATGTTGGGCCACGTATACGCGAATTCAGTTTTCTCGCTAAAATTAGTGGGCAAACTGTCATCACGTGTCCTGACGTCACTTGATCCCCACACAAATTCAGTTTCTCCGCTAGATTTGGCGGAGAAATTGATGTCCCAAGTCCCACGCACCAAGTCACTCTGCCGGTGGGAAAATGCACGTCACGTGACATAATGTCAAGTGACTTATACACCAATTCAGTTTCTCCGCTAAATAATTTGGGGAAAATTGATATCACATAAACAATGCACCGTCAGAGTCCCCAAAACAAATTAGCGAGAAGATTTATAAAATAACTTTTCTGAACGGTGGCTAAATGTCTTCTAAATAAATTTAAACGATCGCTTCTTATGTGCTGCCTTTCTTGCATTATAAGACTTTGGAAATAAATGACGCTGCCAATTTTTTTAAAGCGCAGCGCTTAGGCCCCGTTTCTGTGTTTCGCGGCATCGGCGTAACCCCGCTAAATTTAGCGGGAAAATTGGCGTGACTTGACCTCAACACCAATTCAGTTTCCCGCTAAATTTAGCGGGGAATTGAATTGAGGTCACGTGACGTCAATTTTTCAGCTAAATCTAGCGAAGAAATTGATTTTGTTCATACGTGACGTGACACGAAGTCATGTGGCATCATTTCCCGCGCTAATTTTAGCGGAGTGACACCAAACTATCCCGCCTGACTGGGGTATTAGCTTATGGGAGGTCTTCTAGTAAGACTGCTTAGGGAACTTCAAAGACCCCCGGGCTAGCAGTCGTATTACACCGGCTAAATCTCTCATCCACAACGCGTGAGCCCGTGTCGCCACGATCGTACAGACCGTTATTGCACCGGTTCAACACGCGCGTCTACTAGGTTTATGTGCTCTTTTTGTTTTTATTTCCTCGGCTGTCCCATCGAAAGCGGCTGTCTCCTCAGACAGCGAACGAACCATCGGATATCCTCAAACCCCCTTTGCCCTCGAAGCCGCCCGGACACCAAGTCGACCCTGAAAGGATTCCCGTATCTCCCGAGATCCCCGAATTTAATTACACGCGTCGAAGTTTCGTGCTCCCGCGTGTCTGTGTGCATACGTGCGTAAGTACGTATATGCGTGTGTGTGTGTGTCGTCGGTCGTAGCCACACAACCAACCGAGCGACCGAGAGATCGTAAGGACGACGACGCCTTCTCGACGTTTGCTAAAACTCCGGTGGACCCCGACGCGAGCCGACGGCGCTGTTCTGGGTGGGGGGACACCGCGTGTTGAACCTCGCGATTTGCCTTAATGAGTCTGCCCCTTCGCCTACAGGCACCGCTTTTTTCAGTCCGATGGACCGCGGCGGATGCAATATGAGCTAACCCAGCCAACCCGGCGCCATCGACCCGTCACGTGACCGTGCGCCCCGCCGGTCGCCGCGCCCTCCCGACACCACCTAGAAGTATCAAAGCCCGCGCGGTAGAATCGTGACGTCATCGCCGCGAGATCGAGCGAAGGCATATGATTGGACGCGAGCGCTGCGTCCAATGAACGCGTTGAAGGACGTTTGGCATCGGTCTCGGGTCCAATTGCCGAGCTGGCGCCATCCGATGATGATGACGTTCCGTGCGGGAAGACGAGGTTGCCGAATTTGTTTTAAACGCTCCGCGGCTCGGAGCGCGCGGAACGGAAGCTCGCGCTGCAGAACCCAGGAACATCCTGGGTTCCTTGCCCACCCGTGCCCGTTTCGATCTGGATGAGAATTGTAGCGCCGTGAGGTCGTGTATCACAATACTGCGTGGTGCACGTTAAAGACCCCCAGGCTAGCGGTGGTTCTGCACTGACTAAATTTATCATCTGCACCCGATAGACTAACTTCCGGCCGTCTACTTCGACTCAATTAATATATATAAACAAAATAATGTTCGCGAGTCGCTATTATTTTAAGTGGCGTTGGCCGATACAGTCTTGAAAACAAGTCCCCCCCCCCCCCCCCCCCCCCCCCCCCAAGATCACGTGACAGTAGCGTGACAGTGAATCGGCTTCGATGCTTCGGTGGCTCTTAGCGTCCACAGCGCTCCATCGCAAGATGGAACGGAGCGCGGTTCCGGGGATTAATTACTCGGCCGTTTCGAGCCCCGGGGCTCGATTTTCCCCGCACGCCGTCAATAGACTGGCCGCATTCTTCAATGCCGGAGTCGTTTTGCGGGGACGAAATGAAGTGCCTGGCTGCGTCTTCGCGACCGACCGGCTGTGGTGTGTGCGTCCCTCAATGCCGAGTTCGTGCAGCGGGTCTTTGGGGAGGCTGTCGGCTCAATCGGGTTATTTCGCATCGACGCGCTCGACCAAAGTAGTTATCTACGACCGTTTTCGTGCACGTCAAGGTTCCTTTGTAACCCTGTATGAAGGAAGGGGAAAGGGGGAGGGCGCGGGCGGTGAAGGGGGTGCGCCCGTGTGCATAATGTACAACGGCTCCTAGTCTTTGAGTCTTGCTCGTGTCGTAGCTTCGTCAATGACTAGACTGACGTCCTCTTTCATTTGATCTAACATCCGCGATCGAGAGCAGCTGCTAAGACTATTGAGTGCAGCCACCGAGGTGGACCGGCATCTTGAGATAGCGAATGAGAACCGGGTACGGTTTTTTTATTTCAAAGTATATACGTTCCGAGCACTGTGTACACCCAAACAAAAACAGGACGGCTTACTGAAATATTATTTTTTGAACAATGGCGAACATGACCGACGATTCTGAAAGTTGACGTTTCTTACTTTGCAATTTGTTCTTCGGTAGTTGTGTCGGCTGGTGTAAAAGTCTTATTAGCGGCGGAACGATAATAAAATGTCCAAGATCTACCAAAAACGGCACCTCTTATTAAAGCTGCAAGCGAGCTAGAGGTGCTCACGTTCTGTAGCTCTCAGCACCTGAAATGTTGTGCGCCCCGAGGTAATGCGGAAACGCCTTTAATTCTAAACTTTCCATAGTTTTTTTTTTAGTCTCGCAGGATAGTTGTACGAGCTACTCGTATCAAAATATTCAAATGCCAAACGATATTCAGTGCATAAGCATCCGCAAACAGCCCGTCTCAGGTGCGCGTATAAATAGGCTCGAAATCAACTTCGAGGGCCGTAATGTGTTTCACGTTGTATACCCGATGAAATGATAGACCACGACACCGAGTACTTGCAGCGTATCTGAATTAATGATTGTTTGTCCCGGGCGCATTATTTTATATACCGATTTGTTCGAGTAAATCGAGAAGGTTGTCGAAGCTAGTAAGAACAAATAAAACTACAATGAAGTTGTATACAGTGGACTACGGTCGAGCTTATCCCGAAACATAGCTCCTTCAGACTGCCACTCTAAATTGTTCAGGAGGTTCTCAAAATACATCGGTTTCTGGAGGCGCTGGCTTTAAAATGAAGTGGGACACAGGGACCGGGACATTGCCGACTGCTGCGATTGGTCAGTGGTGTGACTCTGACCAATCGCAGCAGGCGGCCATGTCCCTATGTCCCGGTCTTGCCTCGTCCCGCCGTCTAGCATAGATTCCCCATGGTGTCTCTATTTTTTGGATGCGGGGAGCTCACCTTGCCTGACGAACACCTGGTTGACGTCTAGGAGGATGTCGCAGCCTCCTATGATCATCCGTTCTATGGCCAAGTTCTTCCGGATGTTCTCCGTTTCGCTCACTTCGTCGTGCATTTGCTGCGGAGATGAAAATTGAACAAAGACGGCGGTGTTCATTTTGAACATGTCTGTGTACGTATAAGGTTAGACCACTACCACCTGAAAGACACGACCCGCGATCGTCTTTCTCTAACGCCATAACTATTGTCACTGAAAGCGGAAGAAACACGGGGCTTGACCTATTACGAGGTGCGATGAAAAAATTCCGTGTTTAACTTGTATTGTAAATAAAGAGGGCATCACTACGATGCGCGCGGGGCAGCAGTCGAGGGCAGGGACCTTCTTGTGCCATTTTGCCAGAGGACATTGTTTTGCGAACGTTTGGTGCTGTCCTACGATAGATTTGATTTTGTGACTACGTGCACGAACACAATGACATTTTCAGCGTAGACTGAACACCAGAGCGAGAGCGAACATGAATTCTTCGTCAAACTACAGAATATCTCTGGAAGACGAAAAGACGTCGGGGTAGGTCGCCCGACCTCTTTTCGTCTTGCAGTGACGTTCTGCCGTTCTTGAAGTGAGAGCTCCACCAAAACACTTCGCACGACTCACGGCCTTTTTCGCGTGCTGAATAATTTCAGAGGTTCTAGGTTGACCGAGTGTGACGAAGAACTTACGTTCGCTCTTGCGTTGGTTTACAGTGCATGCCGAAATCGCCGTTGTGCTCGTGCACATGATCACAAAAACAAGCTAATTGTTCACAGAACGACGTCCTTTGGCAAAGTAACACATGCAGGTCCCCTCCTGCGTCTGCTGTGCACACATCACCGTGCTTCCCTCCGTTTTGTTTACGATTTACAATTAGTCTCGGTACGTTTTGATTGAACCTCGTATGATCAACCTTTTTGCTTCGTGATTACTTCTTCGTAGTTCTTATTGAGTGATGCCACAATGTCATTGAGTGACGTTATTTTTAAGCTGTGAGTGAAGTGTGCCCAATATCCTTCAAAAAGGAGCCAATCAGAGCTCGGCGTTTTGACGTCACCGCAACCCGTGTGCGACAAGCAGACGAACTTGCGCTCGGCATAGTGGATCCACGTCGCGTCGCCTATCTTCCGTCCGCGTCGCCGCAAACGCAGACGGCGACGACAAGAACAAGCGCGTCTGTCACATTGCTGTCTGCACTCTCGTCGAGCTTGGCGTATTGGCCGGTTTGGGCGGGTGGGTCGGGGGATCCACTAACGGCGACGAAATGAACGGGTCTTGGCTTCTCGGGTGGCACTGGTAAGGCTTAGATACCTTGAAGGCGTCTTCGACTGATATGTTTAGCCTCATATTATCCCACCCATACATCAAACGTTGTTTCGAAGTGGCAAAAAAAAAAATGACGTCACATGAGCCAACGTGTCGCGCTGTCGAATGTCGCGATCCTGGCGGTTAACCGTAGCAGTCCCGGCAAAAAAAATAAAAAAATAATTAGAGTGGACGGGCGTGTCGCTTTTGTCGCGCGGCGTCCGAACTCCTGGCTGCTGAACCTTCCCTGCTCTGTCAAGCTGGAGAGCGACCTGCAGCAGAACAGGCGTCTGCCACCGCTGCTGTGATGCCGCCAGAATCGCGGCAGGCAACAGCGTCGGTCTTTTGTGACGTCACCGGGGAGAATTTGAGAGACCCCATTTGAGGAGGTGGTGAACAGACCACGGCCGGAGACGCGATCCATGCACCGCAGCTACACTGTCCGCTGTGCGCGCACGCGTACGTACGCGCGACAGTTCCTCGAGCTTGGTCCGTGCCATTTCCAGGCTTCTTCTCTCGACGTGGTTGTGCGGCGTGTGCGCCAGCAGCTCGTGCAGCGTGATGATATAGCGAGGCACCTGGAGAGAAAGCAAAAATAAAAATTAAAGTTCCTTAATGCATCGTATGCAGTGCTTAAAGCCCGTAACCTATCAAATGCAGTATCTAAGGGGCTATTGTTTTAATTTCTTTAATGGAATACACACAGTTTAGTGTAGTATGGGTCACGTGATATCAACAAGTGTATGCCGTAAAATCCCGGGAAATGCCCCACCCCCGAAAGATCGCCCACCCCTATTGTTGGCTTGATTTGCTATATTTTTTTTAAACACCGAAAGATAGCCCACGCCTGGTAGTAGTAGTATTAGGATCATTGATGGCCTCGGCGTAAATGCGGCTAGTCAGTTTTGGTGGGATATAAGCGAGCATTGCTGAATGGGAAGTACAGTCACCGTTGCTTCGTTGCCACAATTTTCGTCAATTTTCCCGCTACTTGTAGCGGAGAAACTAAATTGGTGTACGTCGCGTGACGTTTAGTCGCACGACATCAAGTTACTCGCTAAATTACTGCATCGGTAATGTGATGTCAGGTCAAGTGACACCAATTTACCCGCCAAATTTAGCGGAGAAAGTGAATGGGTGTATAAGTCACCTGAACAAAACACCAATTAACTTTGTCCGCTAAATTTAACTGGGAAACTGATTTGGTATATAGACCTCTTACGTCGGGTCACGTGACGTGAATGTTCCCGCTAAATTTAGCAGGGAAGCTGTACTGGTGTATATTTCACGTGATATGAATTGATGTCACGTGTTCTGTAGACCAGTTCAGTTTCTTCGCTGATTTTGGTGGGAAATGCACGAACAAACGGGCGAATGGACACAATTTAGGGATCGGGGAAAAGCGTTAGAAAGTGGTTTATGCTTTAAAACAAACAAAGAAACGTGTATTTCTCTCTCACTCGCGCAACCAATCAATTAAACGGTTATCTAATCCATCGCGCACTCAATACTGAGGGAATAGTGCCTTCGTTGAATTATTGTCGTTGAGGACAATTAATGTTACAGTATGCTCTCCTGCTGGGACCCGATAAAATGCTAAGTACAGTACAATTAACACAAACTTTGCCCTCCATATTATAACCAGGTGCTGTCCAGTCAGCGAGACCCGCCTTTATTGATTATACCTAAACTTATTTTTTTTTTCAGATGAACAAAAATATTATATTTCCGGTCCGACTATGTCCTATAAATGAAAAAAATTGACTGAGCCCAATGCAAAGACAGGGATTGACCCGATTCCTATGACAACACATGTCTAAGAAAACAAACACACAGGCATGGTCTCAAATATGCATAATGATTTAGACGTGCTCTATACAGAATTTAATCCTCGTTAGCTTATTTCGCACTATCCTTTGAACTTAAAGCGCCTCGAGGAGACGCTACGGCATACTAAATGTAATGTCTCATTCTATTTAAGTGGAGGAAATTTTAAAACTACTCATGGCATTATTTTTTTTATGCTCTCGTACACACGTTTCTATGGATGTCAAATTATTCGCATTGTTTATATCCCAATCATCTATAGGCTATTATTTTGGCTCGCATAAGGAATCCCAAATGCTATCACAGCTACGTTTTTTTCAAATAAAATGGACTCCTATGCTTTAGTTAACTGTGACTATGGCTGTATCCAAAAGTACCCAACAGTTAGGGGACAAGTTTGGCTGGAGTCGAGGACGATTTACACATTTGCGTTGAGTTCGACCCAGTGCGACTTCAACGGTTTTTAATCCTCTTAAGGCCGCACCGCGCTGCAGAAATGGCGGCTGTAGGCGGCTTAAAACCTCGTTGCGATAGCAATCCGTAAAAGGCTTAGAGTCGAAAACCGTTGCAGTCGAACTTGGTTGGACTCATGCAAGTGTGTGAACGAGCCTTCACGCTTTGTTTTTTTACAAACTTTTAAACAGGATCTATTCCAACGACCAAGGCAGAAGTTTCACCTAGTACCTTTTTTTTCAATGCAGTGATTGTTGCGTTACCTAGGGTACCGAAGGGTTTGAGGAAAAGTTTGGCTAAAGTCAGCCTCTAGCTTTCGACAAATCTTTGACCAGTTGTCATGCGAATGACCCAGGGCGAAAGTATTACGTCGTTTCAGTTTCGCAGCGCTCGTCGTGTCTGGCGTCTACCTGGTGCATAGGGTAGGTGAGGAATGTCTCGAGGGTCCTGCCCTGGAGGAGGGTCTTCTCCTCGAGACGCTGCAAAATGGCGGCGAACTTGTCCCGCTGCTTGCATTCGGCCAGCACCTGGAGGCTGTAGTGGTGGTTTCGGACGTACTCTTGGTAGATGGTGAGCATCGGAAGGAGCATGTCGAACAGATCTCCTGCGGGCCAACGTCGTTCAAGGGAGGGAGCCCACGTGTGGGAGGAGATAGGGAGAGGGGAAAGGGAAGAAAGAAAAAGAGACACACGCCAAAGATGCGTGCGCACACGCGGCTGACAAAGGCGGGAACGGTCGGTGTTCGAATATTCGACCCTCGAGCTTGCACCAAGGTTGATGAACAAAGCCGTTGTGCTGAATTTTTTTACTTTACCTACTGGATACCAGTCAACACCCGCACAAAATAACTAAAGCCTGTGGGCCTCCACTAAACGTTATCACAGTAGGTTGGTGCCAATTCAGCAATGGGCAATGTGCAAAACCTAGGCGCCCCTAGTGGCTGAGCTGCATTCTGGAAAACATTCGTAAACGAAGATTTTTGTTTCGGTTTGCTTCATCGAACCAATGCCAGCCGCAAGCGGACGTCGCGGACCTGTACCACGCCTCTCAACGCAGCGTGCCTTGCCGAGTCTTCGTCAATTGACCTACGTTTGCGCATGATGCACTAAGTGTACTTCTCTTCTCGTGACTTTATCTGGCGGTTACTGATTCATGGCGAAGGCAAGCCACGTCGCTTAAGCGAAACTTAACCTAATGCCGATCGGCGTACAGTGCTCTACGCAGCGACTTCTTGTGGGTGTTCGTCTTGGACTTCGACGTCCTTCGAGGAGGGCCAACACCAAGATTAGCATCGGTCCTCCACAGTGTCTTTATATGTCGTGCTTTATTCACCGTTCTTAAGCCATCTTCCTTCACTTTCATTGCCCCGATTCCTTTGGCCGCTAGCTGCCACCTTGTCTTCCTCTTTCCCGAACTTTGCGTGACTTTCCTTCACCTTGAATGAATTATCGTCTGATAAAGTGACGGGAAGTATACTTACTTCTCATCAGCTAGGAAGCTAGGAAGACTCGACGCGGTACGCTGCGTTGAGGGGCATGGTACAAATTCACGATGTTCGCTTGCGGCTGGCCGCGGTTCGATGGAGGAAACCAAAACTAAAATTTTCGTTGGCAGATGTTTCCCAGGATGAACCTGAGCCGCTAGGGGGGCTCCTAGGTTCTCGTCCACCAAGGGTCAAAACCCTCGACTGTAGCGCGCTGAGAGTCGAACAGACGACACCGAAAAAAATGCCGGACACTACGGGAGCGCCAGCCAAGTCAGCCTCAGCAGGACGGACCTCACGCCCTGAGCTCAGGTCAGCAAGGACTCGTTTCAAATTAGTGCCAGCTTTAAAATACAAAAAAAAAGTCTGCAAAGACGTTGGATGTTTTCAGTAGTAAACTTAAAGTGGTTATTTTTTTTTTTGTACACAGCCTTTGATAGCCCATTTCTCCTGGACAACATATCCGTAGTGCTTAATTTTTGCGTCACCTAAAAAAAAAGAGCTTGAGGGTTTGGATTGAACACGACTTCTGCGTCCGCTGACGCAGCTCCCGTGCCCAATCTATGACCTGCTTTCACCTTCCATAGGTGACCCTGAAATTTCAACATTACAAGTTTGTCATGTAGCAGACGTTGTCGTAGCCCTGTAACAGGCTTAGCACGTTTATGCCATCAACGTCTGCCACAAATCGGCAATTTATGGTGCAGGGCTTTTGGTACCCCGTTACGGTAACACACTAAAAGTCCTCCGCTATTCTCATCTGAGAAGTCAAGGGCTTTGTCTCTAAACTCGCGAATAGCGTTTTTCTTTTTAAGGTTTTCATTGACTACGAGGTGCGATCTATAAATTTCCAAGACTAGCTTTTTAGCGTAAAAAGTAAAAACAAGCATCATGATGATGAGCGCGCAAATGTCGTAAACCTTTACGTATGATTATGCAAAAGGGCGTCGCTCTGTGAACATTTGGAACTTGGCGACACGTGTTTTTCCTTCCCTACCTCTCTTCGTCTTCCAGTGATGTTTTCCCATTCTTGAAGCGCGAGTGCCACTCAAAACACCTCGCACACCGCACTGCTTCTTTTTTCTTTTTTGCCATAAGCCTGTCCTAATTTTTTGAAAGGTCTTTTCTTTTTTTCACATTTGCCGTGTTTGACGCAGATTTGATGTTCGTTCTCGCTTTAATTTTCCAGCATGTGCTGAAATTGCCATTATTCTCGCACACGGGTTCAGAAAAAACTCGTGTTGCGCACTGCAAATGTTCACAAAACGACGCCCTTCGACACATTGAGAAACTAAACTTCGCCTCATCCTAGCATGGACTAACTGCGAAGGCTGTGCAAGCACGAGCGGCTAGCCTTGATTGCCTTGACTGGAGCACTTGCTGCACAAAGGCTCGTGCAGCCACCGAGGATTCACCAAAGCAACTAGCTCGTGCTTTTAGCATGCGCGGCTAACAGTAGTCCATGCTAGACCTTTCCAAGAAAGAGTGTATGGCCGGTGCCATTTCCAGTGTTCGTGCGTATGGCGCGTGCTTTGCTCGTTTTCCGGAGCGACGCACACGCGCGTGCTGAGCTGTGGAGATCGCACGCTGAGCTGTAGATTTGTAAACACTGGAAAGGTCTATAGTCCCGGAAATTTAGATCGCAACTCGCGCATAAGTTTGAGATCTCTTCTAATGTCGATGGCGGTTACTCGCGTCTCATGAATGGAGAATTATATTTAAAATAAATACAAAATAAGCGCATACTTAAGCTTAAGACACCTAGGCTAGACGAAGCCCGTTGAGATAGAAGCTTGGGCTACTCGGAGATTCATTGTAAATACCAACAGCGCAAAAAAAAAAAAACTATGTGTTTTTTTTTTTTTGTTGGCCTATACCCCGTTTCACAGTAAGTTCGACCTCAACCGAAGTTACAACCTGATGGACTCAATCGAGCAGCTCTAAAAACTGCATCGTCACGGCGATCGTCTTCTTTGGGCATTTCCTATCACCGGCTCGATCAATCAAGTTACAAAAAATAAATAAAAATAAACCCAGGGCAGGACTGTATTGTTCTCGCCACCCATAAACGTTTTACCCGCCCCCCCCCCCCCCCAAAAAAAAAAAAAAAAAAAAAAGAAGCGCCGTGACAGTGCATTATTAGCTCCACTCCAATCACTTCAGCTGTTCGTAGCCTGGGCCACGGTCGAACGTAGAGGAGAGGTGAACGCAATGAATGTGGTACTTATTTTGGCGCCGTTGCTGCCTACATAGCGATAGAAAGTATTTCTAAATGTTAAGAAGCTAGGCGTGAGGTCCGTCCGCCGACGCTATTGAAGCGGACTAAAAGCGACACTGAAAAAGAGAGCTCTATTGGTGACGGGTCGAGGACCTAGAAGCACAGATGAAAGGCAAGCCCATAAAAGCTGTGCAGTGCATTCGGCAAGCATTTGGCAATCACGGCCATCGCAAGAGCTGCCCAAGCTTGGAAAAGAGGCGAAGCAGGCGACGTCATCACCCTGCCGGCAGACATGCAACATGACAGACAGCCCATATGCTGCGATTCGAGGCCAAGTACCGCAAACTCCACACCAAGGATCTGCAACAAATGTCTGTAAAGTCCGTACCGACCAGTCATAATTGGCGCGTCTGTAATCATTCCGAAGCTGCCGTCGTTCAGCCAGGTGAAGTCGTGCATCCCTACTGCGAACCCCCCCCCCCCCCCCCCCTCAAATGTCTGCATAACACGTTACAAGTAAGGCGTTGCGTGTCCTTACTTACTTTACTCGCTAACGACGTACCGACAGAGTTAACTTTTTGGACGAAAGAACGAGGAACGTATTTTCTTTCCAACCTATGCTCTCGTCCCTGCTCGCGCTTGTAATATGCACGTCAAGAAAACGCTGGATATAGCATAAAAAAATTACAGGAGGATACTTAAGGCTGCTTGCGTGTAGGAATGCTTTAGCATTCCTACACGCAAGCAGCCTTAAGTGTTCCGTGTAGGAATGCTAAAGCATTCCTACACGGAACGCATTCCTACAAGGAACGCGCCCAGCTGTTCGCGGTGCGGAGGAGGGCAGCGCGCCCGGCTCCTCCGCGGCGCGACATGGCTGAAAGCAGAGCGTAGAACACCTGAGGAACGGTAATTTCCCGCTCCCCCTCCGGGCCTCCGGCAACGCCTGACACGTGACCCTAGAGGGGGTAGAGAGGGACGGCCATGCGCGCGCCACCCCCTCCTTTTTATCGGCGCACGGACCGCAGCGCCATGGAGAGGGCTTCTCTGTGGGGTAGCGTTCCTTGGAACTATAACGCGTCGGAGACAATGCGAATTTATTCATTGTTTCGCTGCTACAGACATGGGAGAGAGGAATTGAGGTGCCGTTTTAACGGCTTCAAAAACTGATAACGCCGGTTCGCTCCATGGGGCCAGTTAATGCTTTCGCATTAAAAGATGTGCACAAGGTGTGTCAGTTTATTCACAGTTATCCCCGAAAGAGCTTGTTACACGGTGAGGCATTATTAACGGCAACAAACATTGGAACCGGCTACTCATTCATAAAAGAACAACAAATTCGAAGTAACGAATAAATAAGGGTTACTTTTAAGTTGATATAAAGCGTTCGTTTTGAATTGATGTATGGGGTAACGTACTATCGGGGAAAAATGAAATGCGAACAGAGGAGCGCGTGGCTCGCGGTACAGGCTGCGCCGCCTGGAAGTGAGCCTAGGGGCGAGGGTGCGTGGCCTACTCCGACGTGTTCACGCCCCTCCCTCTGCGCTCCTCAATCTTCAGCAGTGCGCCTCTTAGTGCGCTGAAAGCTATCACCGCTATCTTTGCTGGCTCAGCGTGTGCGGTGCAAAGAAGCTCGCCGCACTCGCTGAGCACGCAAAGATATTAGGGAGTTTTCGTAGACCGTTTTCGCCATTCCGCAACGCCCCTCCGCAACCCGCTACGATATCCGGAACTCTACAGTGAAGGCTATCGGCGCGCAGGCGCAGTAGCAACTTCTTCGTTGCGGAGGGCTTAGCGGAGGGGGAAACGCGGTCTACGAAAACTCCCTATTGGTGAGAGCTTTCAGCGCAGTGAGAGGCGCACTGCCGAAGCTGGGGGAGCGCCAATCGAGGGGCGTGAACACATC